TAATGAATGGAAATTATTTTTTTCTAAGGCATGACTTTTACTGGAGGCAGAAGGTCTCTATTTCTTTAACTGCTGTTCTTTGGTTTGTGTGGTGTGTGTTTTCCCCTCAGTTTGTGCTTCCTTTCTGGAAAGTACTTCACTTTTAATGATGTGTGTGTGTGTGTGTGTGTGTGGTTTAATTATGTACACATTTTAAAACCAGTGTTTGTTTTTATCTGCTCAGCCCATCTGCCAGGCAGCCTATCAGAACGACCTCAGTCAGGTGTGGCGCTGGGTGAGGGAAGACCCCAAGTACATCAACGTTCAAGATGGCTTTAATGGAGACACTCCCCTCATCTGTGCTTGTAGAAGAGGGCACCTGAGAATTGTATCCTTCCTTCTAAGAAGAAATGCTAATGTGAACCTCAGAAACCAGGTGAGGCTTTAGTACTTGTGTGGAGAGAGGATTTGACCACAGCAATTTCATTCTCCTCACATCAGTGAACTTGGTAAAAGCCATTTTCTCATTGTTTGTAGCACCTAATAGCCACAATATTGTCTCTCTGTCTTACTTTAGAGAGACGAACACATTCTCAGGACATTTTTATTAGGCTAAAAAGCAATACGCAACATAATTCAATGACTAGGTGTATTTTGTGGCCAGTGAGGTTTTTGTATTCTGGAAGATAGTGGTTCACTCCTTTGGCAGAGCATAGTTTCTTCCTTTCTTCTTCTGCTCTATTTTATCTTGATTTCCTCCCACCTTCCCACCTTAGTAATGTATAAGTAATGGGAATCATTTCTTGAAAAAGAAATACTGACCTCCTTGACCTATATCAACAGATTTTTTAACTCCCTATTTTGAAGTCCTGTTTCCCAGAAGAAAAATTATGAATTACATAATTGTTATTTACTATTGAGTTGAAAATGACCCATAGCTGACCCTCCAGCAAGTTTTTAGAGACAGTTAATTACATGGAGGAGATTGTCCATCCTTCTCCTGAGGAGCCGCTGGTGGAGTCGAACTGTGTGCCTTCAGGACTGCAGCGTAGCTTCATGCCACTCTGCCACCAAACACATTATTGTATAGTTAGAATAAAAGAATGCAGCAATTTCTAGAATCCCAGGGCTAAAAGGGAATTACGAAGATCTGACTGAATTATTAATGTTATAACTTAGCCAAAGCTCACTGTTGTCACACAGATTCCAATTCATAGCAAACCATTGGGTTTTTGAAGCTGTGAACTTTTACATGAGGAGAGGAAATAACTTTCTCCCATGGAGCATTTCCCAGGTTTGAAGTATTGACCTCTTGGTTAGGAGTACAACATATAATGTACTAGGCTACTTGTTGTTGTTATGTACTACTGAGTCAGAACTGACCCATAGTTGACCCTTGAGAAGTTGTTTTCAGAGGCCATAAATCACACAGGAGAGGATTTCCCAATTTGCTTCCTTACAGCAGCTGTTGGATTTGAACCGTGTGCCTTTGAGTTGTTAGTACAGCTCTCTCCCACTAGGCCACCACAGTCCCTTAATATTATAACAGAGGCTTGCAACGTTTAGGTCCTTTTCCCTACTGAGGAAACCAAGCCAAATCCACTGGTTAATTTGAATCTTAGGCTAATGAGCTATTTAGAAGAAGGTCCGGGAACAAGTAGGGGTTGTTAAGAACAAAAAACTGCATTCATTGAGGAGAAAAAAATGGCCAAAGAGTTATGACAAGTTGAAACTGTCTTCATTTTCTCTCTGTGAGTAGTTCCAGACTGAGTTTCATTTAAGTGCTGTACTTCCAACTTATCGAGACAGAAATGTTTTGAAAGGGTAAAAATTAATTGCCTTAAAAGAGGATCTTCTAGAAAAATTCCAGACTCTTAACGAACTCCATACTTCCTCTCTCTGGAAGCAAGCAGTGTGTCTTCAGTGTGCTCCAGGACCCTTGGGAGATACCGTATTTCTGACAAGGGTTTGTAGGTGACAACAATGCAAGTGTTCATGAGCCATACTGAAGCATATTGCTGAACAGAATGTACAATCAAAATTTCTGTAGGAGCCTTATATGGAGCTCTCGGATCAATACTTCCATCAGAGTAACCCACAGCTGTTTTTGCAGAAGTAGATTATTGTTGTCTACCTTCAAGGTGAAACTGACCCATAGCTGACTCTTTGCCAGGTTTTTGGAGGCAGTGAATCAATGGGAGGTGATTGCCTGTCCTTCTCCCGCAGAGCAGCTGTTGGATTCAAACCCCATGCCTTCAGGATCGGAGTGATTCTTACCACTAGGCCATCAGAGATTACCAGACCTTTATTCCAAGGCACCTCTGAGCAGACTCAAAGTTCCAACCATTTGGCTGGCAACCAAGCATATTATCCTCTTGCACTGCCCAAAGATTTCCAAGTCAGTTTAAATGCCAACGAATTTGATGAAATAAATGTTACTGGAAAAATGAGAACTGCCAGACTCTTGACAAATGGCCGACTTGGTTTTAATTCCTTGTGTTTAAAAGCAAGTCATGCCTGTGCTGTAGCTAACAGATAATCAGCTTAATAGAGTATGACAGGATGTCTTTTGAACACAGCTGGGAAACCAGGTGTGTGGCCTTTTGTAGAGAGGAAGTGCTGGAAGGCAGATGTCTGTGGGATGTTTCACATCCTCTTAAGAGTCTTGCTCATTAAGAAGTGGAGGGAGGGAGATGTGGGACAGCACAGGAACCAAGCTGATGAGGCTTGGAGTATCAAGAGCCAAGCCGGGAGTCAGCCAGCTGGAGTCGTTGACGTGCGTACATATCTTGGGAAGAGCTTCATTGGGCACTTGGAGTTGAAACTATTTTTGGAACAGTTTCTTTTTTTTTCCCCTATTAAAAAAAAGTTTTGGTAACCTTTTTCATTTCCCCCTCAAACCTCAACCAGTGCTCTCTTATTTCTTAATGTTTTGATGAATAATTTTTTGGGAGCTCTAAGTCAACAGATACCTTAAATATAAAACATTCTGCTGGTGTTTGAGATAAGTGTGTCCAATAAACAACATAATTCAATGGAAAGTAGATTAATTTTTAAAACCACCATGTATATTTATATGTAGCACACATACACACATATTTTTAATGATTAGATTGACTGTTGTTGTTGTTATGTGCTGTGAAGTTGCTTGCCACTCATAGTGACCCTATGTACAACCCTAAACCCTGCTCTGTCCTGTGCTAATCGCACTGTCTCCAATACACCCATCCCGATTACCTCAGTCACTGAATGAATACATCTCAGAGAGGGCCTTTCTCTTCCACGATTGACTATGATTGAAAAAGAAAGACGTTTTGATAAGAAAATTGCAAACTATTTCTAGCTAGCTGGAACACGCTTTAGCACTGCCATTGGAAAGTGTTAATACTTTTTGTGCCAGGAAATCAATCTAAATTTAGTAAACTCAGTAAACTTAGATGTATCGACAAAGCTTTATAAAGGAGCATATTCAGACAGTAGGACTGATAAAAAGGGAAAAGCTTTGTGTTGGGTTTTTTTTTTTTAAAAACACCAACTTTAAGTTTCATTTGATAAAAAGGTATGTAACTGTTAAAATCATGTTCACCTGTGTTAAATGGCATGAACAATGTACATATTTGAAATACTCAGAGCAACCCCTCCCCCTTGGGTTTGGTTTTTCAATATGTAGTTTGATGTTGCATTTTTAAATCTCAGAAATACGCATTTTAAAAGACCCCAAGTAAACATACTAAAATGTCAAGAATGAACTCTGGGCTGTTGGATTCTGGATGATTTTAAAACTTATTGTTATACTTTTGCCTAATTTCAGAAGTTCTTACAAGAAACATCTATACTTTGATATTTAGAAAAAAACAAAAAAAATAGTCTTATTTAAGAACTATGTTTTCTCCTGTTAACCTTTCTTTAATCTCCCTTCTCCCTCATTGATGTGGCTGTTACCGAATCCTAGACTGTTTTGCATATGCTTGCTTGCACGTGTTTCTGTCTACCATTTTTTTATGATGAAGCCCTGAGGCTTCATGTAACCCATAATCTCTAGGAGTTTAGGTATTTGAAGGATTAAACTGAGTTATTTACATTCTACTAGCACTATTGGTTTGTATGCAGGAACATGGAAAATTGTCATGTGGTCAGTTTTTCTTAGGCACCAACGAGGAAATCAGTAATTTGTACAAGGAGAGGAAGACCCTCGATGAGATGAATTGACACAGTGACTTCAGCAATGGACTCAATGTCAGGGATGATGAGGATGGTGCCGAATAGGATAGGGCTCAGATCTGTTGTTCATAGGGTCGCTTATAAGTTGTACTCAACTGATTAGCAAATAAAAATAACAATAAATTGGTGTTTTTGATAATTTTGTATTAATTTTAATGAAAATTTAAATAAAGGGTTTTAATACTAAATTATGTCCTATGTTTATTTCTCTCTCTGTTTCTATCTGTGTGTTCCAAAAACTGAGTGTGAAAATCCATCTTCAGTTAATTTGTGAAATATATGTTTCACTTATATTATCTTCTGTAAGGAGTCCTGCTGACCCCGTAGATTTGGTCAGCTGTTTGAATCCTCAGGAGAAAGATGAAGAAGTTCGATTTTTTAAAAACATTTATACCTTTAGACATTAAAGGTGGGAACAATTCTACTTTTTCCTGTAGAGTCTCTAAAATCTTCCTGTAATTCTTCCACGATTTTTGTTGAAATAGACTTGTATTCTATGCTACATATCTGGTACTGGTGAAAAGCACATAACTGTCATAAATTAAAAATAATTAAAATTTATGATGTGTTAATATTAAAATGTGAAAGTTGAAGTGAAATTTAAAAAAAATATAAAACATACTTTGTTTTGTTTTTTCACAGAAAGAGAGAACATGCTTGCATTATGCCGTGAAAAAAAGATTTACCTTCTTTGATTATCTACTTATCATTCTCTTAATGCCTGTTCTGCTTATTGGTTATTTCCTCATGGTGAGTACAGCCCTTGTTAGAGCATGTGCACAGTAAAGCAATAGTATGACTCATCAAGTTTTACCTGACTGGTAAGCTATTGTAAAGAGCTGTGGATCATAACAAACAATGGCTAACATTGAGAAGAATGAGAATATTAGGACACCTCATATGAAACCTTTACCTAGACCAAGAATCTGTTGTCTGAATAGAGAAAGGGGACACTTGCATGGTTTAAAATCAGGAATAAGTGTTCATCAGTGTTGCATCCTTTCTCCATACCTATTCTATCTGTACACTAAATAATTCATTTGAGAAGCCGGACTTTATGATGGAAAGTGTGGGATCAGGATACCTTATCAATAACCAGTGTTATGCAGATGACACAACCTTGTTTCTTGAAAGTGAGAATTTGAAGCACTTATGGCAGAAGATCAATGACTCAAAGTGTGAGAAGAGAACAGGCCATGTAGGGAGTGCCATACCTGATCTTCATCAGTTCATAGGGAAATTGTCCCTGTCCATAGACTCAATAGCATAAATCCGATCCCCATTAGGTCAGACATGTCCCTCACACTCCCATGCTTATTTCTACTCATCTCAGCACTAATCTTACTACTTTCATGGGTTCAAAATCCAAAGTGATAATTCACAGACCACACAGAATCATATAGAGAAACCAACAGGACACAGTGAAGACAGTGCCCAAAATGTGCACGTAGGCACCTCGGCCTTGAACTTCATGATGGTCTTAGGTTCTTAGTTCTGCCAATCTTGGCTTCACTCCACCCCACAGCTGCCAAACAAAGGTCTCAGTCCTGTCCCACCAATATTGGCTCTCCACTCAATTGTCCAATACATTTCTCAGTCCTGACAGTGTTGGCTTTCTCCTCTCCAAAGTTTCATCAATGCTCCAGTTCAGCTATTTCTGCTGCTACTGCTACTGCTATTGCAGCCGCTGTTGCTGCTGTTGCTCTCACTGTTGTCACTGTTGCTATCCCAAAATGTGTCCTACATTTCACCTAGTTGTGGGGAGGTCAGTCTTCTCTAGCTGGGGGAAGAATTACTTCTTCTTCTTTTCTGAGAGAATTTTGCTATTCTCTGCAGCTAGAACTGTTCAATTTATTGGGGAGACTAGTCAATCCTCTTGTAGATTGTTGAGACTGGCCAATCCCCTTGTGACATTGTATATAGCCAGTCCCTTTGTGGATAAGCCAATATGCCTCAATTGCATAGTCCCCGCCCTCTGCACAGTCATCCACGTTAGAAAAGTCATATTGAGAGACAAACTCCACACCAAGTTAATAGTAAAATAATCTGTGCACTGTTTATTTGGAAAAAATAAATTAATTTTGATGAAAAATCATTTCTGATGGAAACACAAAAATTCTGAAGACTTAAAGACTTTTCCCTTTCTACTGTTTTGCTCTCCTAAAAGAGCTCAAGTTTATGTACATTCATGTCTGGGCTCATGATTTTTAAAGTCTCACTCCAGTTGTGAGTTATAGAACAGTGCCCAAAGTATTTGCATAGACATAGACAATCTTCATAGAGAATATTCAACCTATTTTTCACATTGATAGATTTATTCATTCTTCAACAAATGTTGTTTGGTGCCATCAAGTTGAGTACAACATTTAACCACTCTATGAACAAAAGATCTGAATCCTGTTCTATCCTTGGCCATCCTCATACTTTCTGACTGCATGAGCACATTACTTCAGTCTCCTTGTCAATCCACCTGATTGAGGGTCTTCCTCTCCTTCATCACCCTCCACACTTCCCAAGATGATGCCCCACTCTAATGGATAGGCTCTCCTTGCAAGATGGCCAAGGTGTATGAGGCGAAGTCTCATCATTCTTGCCTATAAAGAACACTTTGGCTCACCCTCTCTAAGACATGTCTATTTGTTCTTTTGGCCATCTGTGGGATACTCAGTGCTCTTCTCCAACACCACAGCTCAAAGACATCAATTCTTTTTCTGTAATCCTTATTCATTGTCCAGATCTCAGATGTGTAGCAAGAGATCAGAAGAACTATGGCTTGAATCAGATGCACCTTAGTCCTCAAATTGACATCATTACTCCTTTATAATTTAAAGAGATCCATAATTAGTGATTTTCTCAATGCAATGTGTCTCCTTATTTCCTGAATCATTGACACGAAGAAATTTTCTTGAAAAAAAATTTGTATATGAATGCAGTCATACCATACTTAAGCAAGAAGCTTCATTTATTTTCAAGAAGAGTGACAGATTTGCCTGACTTGCCCGCTTTTTTGCCATCTGTTTCCCTTTGTGGTCAGTTCTATCTTGAGAGATGACCCAGTATATTGGAATTTACTCCAGAATAATAATGATGCTCCCTCCTAACAGCCAATGTTGTTGTTGTTGTTAAGTGCCATCGAGTCACAGGCGACTCATAGCAACCCTATGAAGGAGAGTCCTTGACGCTTGGGTGCCTTTCATCCTCTCTCCAAGTTCATAGGGTTTCCGGAGGCAAGCTATTATGGAAGTGGACGCCACTCCTCCTTCCACAACAACCAATGGACCATGATATTATTTATCCCTGTACATGTAAACTCTAGGACCAAAACCTACCATTTAGAGATGTTGTTATTACCTTGGATTTTTAAAAATGTTGCATAATTTGAGGAAGTAGGATTAAAGACAATGAAGCCTGGCGGCTTAGTAGTAAGGAATTTCACTGCCGATGCAAAGGTACTCAGTTTGAATCTACTGCTTGGTTGTTAAGAGAAAAATGGGCAGTCTCCTCCTGTGAGTTTTACTGACTCTGAAAACCTATTGGAGGGTCAGCTATGGGTCAGTTCTGACTTGAAAGTACACAATAACAACAACAACAGGATTAAAAACAATAATGGTGGTTTTAATATTTGTATTTATAAGCCACAGATACACTACACTGATACCTGTAACTATTTATAGTCTTGAAAATTTCTTGATTAAAAAACCCCCACTGTGTATTTAGTGCATAGCATTACACAAGTTGCTACTGAGTCAGTTCCAACTCATGGTGACCCCCATGTGTGTCAGAATGGAATTGTGCACCACAGGGTTTTAATGGCTATGACATTTTGGAAGTTGTTTCCAGCACTGTCTTCTGAGGTACCTCTGGGTGCACTAGAACCCACTCTGAGCAACAACAATTAAAACTATGATTAGCAAGTTTGTTCAGAAATTGTTGACACACAAACCTGCTACTAAATATTTAGAAACTGACAACGTGGGCAAAAATAGCAGAGTGAAAAGCCCCAGTTCTCACTGCACTTGTTTCTCATTGACTAATACGGCCTGAGGCATAGGTCTTGTGGAGTCAGTAGTAAGCGGCATGAGACTTAAATTAGGGGGGGAAGAAAGTATTGAGTTACTTTTGGGAAGGACAGAAGAAGAAAGGCAGTTTGGAAGTTAACAGGAGGAAAGCATGAGTAGAGAAGACGATGGGATGGAGCTTCCTCAGTTATAAAAACCAGTGACTGCGGAATTAATTGCAACACCTGGTGACTCCTGGCATGCTAGAGCTGGATTGCACTCTTGAGCTTTCTTTTTAAAATTGTGTGTGTGTGTGTGTGTGTGAGTGTACCGTCAAATCAGATCTGACTGGTACAGGAGGAGATTGTCCCTCCTTTTCCCAGCAGAGCATCTCGTGGATTTGAACCTTGTGCCTCTGGGATTGTAGTTGCAGCTCCTTGCCACTAGGCCACCAGAGCTCCCCTAAAATTCTTGTTAAAAGGTTACATGGAAAAACATTGATAGACATTCAACAATTACCACACATACAGTTCAAAGACATTGATGATTATTTGAGTTGTGCAGCCATTTTCATCCTCCTCTTCCAAATTGTTTCATTTTCATTAATACAATCTCATTGTCATTTGAGGTTCCCACCTAACCTGGGTTACTGTCTTCAGTTTGATCCCATAGAGTTAGGTTTTAGAATAAACCTATTTTCAAGGCAAATACCCTTTACTAATGGAGTTGGAGGGATGCTTTGTGTAAAGAAGACTTCAGGGTATATTGCCAGCTAAAGAGTATCTAAAACAACAAGCGTGAGGATTTCAGCTGCTGTAGGGGTGGGGAAGGGTGGTTGGAAGTAGATTATCTGACTTGCCGTTGAAGTATCTCTGGACAGACTTGAATGTCCAACAGATAGCAGATGTGCTGTTTAGACCATCTGAGGACTCCTCGAATACAAAGGAACTGAAGAAAGATGGACAGTCTCTTCTGGTGTGACTTATAGCCTTAGTAACGCACTGGAGAATCAGCTGTAAGTTGGTCCAACTCAAAAGCAGTGGATTTTTTAAAATAAGAAGTCCTGGGCCATGTGAAGACAGAACGGTTTCTTCAGGCAGCAGAATGCTTGAAGGGTTCAACTTGCATGTGGTTGGAATCTCATCAAAATAGAGTGGAAATGTGGATTTCACTTGTTGAGTTATTCAAAATACATTTATTAACAATGTGGCCACCATTGTGCCAGGTGTTAGGGATAAAATGATGAGCAAAACAAACATAGAGCTTCTCAAGAGAGAGGAGTGCCATTGATCAGATAATGAATGACACAAACACCTTCCTGTGATGCAGCTGATGTAGAGAAGGTGACAGGTACATGAAAGCCTGGCAGAGACGGGTTTTAACTGGTCAGTTGGGGCAGAAAAAGAATTCCTGGAACAAGAATGCTTGGGCTGCAATCTGAATAATGAATTTACCAGACAAAGAAGGAAATAAGAAGGCTACGAGGTAGAAGGGACGCCTTGCACAATTCTGAGCAGGAGGGAGCCCGGTCAGAATGAAAGGCTACAATAGGCCAGTGTAAATGGAACAGGACGAGCCAAGGAGTATAATGGGAGGCAGGGAGTTCAAGAGGTCAGTATGCCATGCTGAGGAGTTTATGTTTGTCCAGCAGACAATGGGAAACTGTAGAAAGATTTTCAGTCAGGATGAGGAAGATTCCATCCTTAGTAGGTTTTGATAGGTTTGGGTTGCAGCCAATAATTCATATGTATTTAAAACAAGTTCCTAGGTTCTGATGTTACTATTCCAGGGCTGCATTCTGAGAAACACCAAACCCCAGACTAAGCTCACTGGCTTTCAGTCAATTTCAACTTCAGGGCCCTGTGAGATGAAATAGAATTGCCTCATTGGGCTTCTGAAGCCTCTGTCCCTGAAGAAGCAGACTGTCACATCTTTATCCTGTGGAATGCTTGACGTGTTCAAAGCACTGACCTTCAGGTTAGCAGTGGTTTGCTCAACCAGAGCTATGTTATGGGCCACCAGAGCTCCTCTTGAGAATCGCAATGTTAACTAAGTGATGACAGTGAGAGGTGGTGATGGTAGAGACATAGAAGAATACATAGGAGTTCTGGGGGGGATAAGATTAAAGTGAAGTCTTAATTGATTTAGACAATTTCAGACACAAGGTGAAGAAAATGTTTTTAACAAGATTTTTTTTCCTTTTTTTTGCCATGTTTGCTGTAGATATCAAAGACAAAGCAGAATGAAACACTTGTACGGATGTTGCTTGACGCTGGCATTGAAGTTAATGCTACAGACTGCGTAAGTGTGTAATTTCATACTATTGAAATAGCATTCAAAATGGGTTTTATAGGTAATGTACTTGCTGTTTATAGATATGGATAGAGTTGCTTGCATTTACTTCCCAGATACATTTACATTTAGTTTTGTCTCTACTTTTACTGCCAGTTGAATGCCCTTGTAATTATCTCTATTCTGCTACTGAACTTGAAGGAAAAGTCTTCATTAATCAGAGAATACTTTTTAAAGAGTTGACTTCATCTTTGCTGAGAAGGAATCCAGAGGCTTGCAGAACAAAACCTCATTCTCAGCTGTAGAGTTAGAATGCCTGTGTAGTAATCTATACTAGTCTGTTTCTTAACCTATGTTAATTTTGGTAACATATAAACTTAATAGAATTCAATTTCTTCATTGGTAAAACTAGGGTATTGTTAGTATTTTCCTTACAAATACCTGCCTGCATTCACGTAAAGCACCTAGCAGAGAGACTGTGTTTAATAAATGCTAACAGTTGCTTGTGTAGCCAAGCTCCCAACATGAGAAACTAAGGAAATACCTCAAATGTAAACTAAAGAAAGATAAATGAAAAGTCAAAGAAAATGAAAATGCTGATAAGAGTAGTGATAAAGGCAAGTGTAGTAGTATATTAGCCTCTCAATGGTGCTACCACAGAATTACCACACTAGTGGCTTTGACATGTAGAAAAGTAGTTTAGGAGATGAACAGTCTGAATTAACGAGCTGGCTCTAGTGGAATGCTCCTCGCTGGTTCCGGGAGAAAGAAAGCCCTTCTGTTGGTGTTCTAGCCTTCTCTCTATTGGAATGTTCGTCGGAGATCTCCTCATGGCATGTTCTTCCCCTTCATTTGAGTTTACCTCTTCTGTCCTCATGACATGTTGTTGTGTATCATTGAGTCGGAACTGACCCATAACTGACCCTCCAGTGAGTTTTCAGAGGCAGTAAATTGCATGGAAGGAGATTGTCCATTCTTTTTGTGGGGAGTAACTGGTGGATTTAGACCGTTTGACTTTGGGATTGTGGCGCAGTTTCATAGTATTAGGGCAGCAGAGCTTATTGCCCTGTCCTGATGGCATATTGTGGTTGTGTATAGTTGAGTTGGAACCAATCATAGCTGGTCATCTAGTTGTTTAACAGGCATTTTTATTGAGTGGGAAGAGATGGCTAATCCATACATGCACAGGCACATGTGAGATAAAGAGAATATATTCATGTAATGAGTATCTCTTTTCTACAAAAAATACTTTAAAACTAATCTGGATAGGTTAACAAACAAACAACAAAACTCCCACAAATTTTGACTTATAGGATCCATGCAGGATGGAGTAGAACTACCTCATAGAGCTTCTGTGACTTTGTTTTTTTAATTGATATACACATAAATATTCATAATCAGTGTGTTTCATATGTACATAGTGGGGGTGTTTGTGTGTGTTTAACACCTTCCTTTGTTGACATTATGTTTCATACAATCATTTCCATACATTGTGTTTGCTTCTGTGACTTTTAACATTTTTTAAAATTTTTAAAAAATTTTTATGTGTACCACCAAATTGGATCTGACTGGTACAGGAGGAGATTATCCCTCCTTCTCCAGAAGAACATCTAGCAGATTCAAACCGCATACTTCAGGGATTGCAGTGCAGCTTCTGCCACTAGGCCACCAGAGCTCCCTGACTTCCAACATTTTTGAATGTAGAATGCTCCATCAGAATTTCCCTCAGAGTGGCTGGTGGTTTCAAACAATAGATCTTTTGGTTAGCCATTGAATGCTTCAACCACAGACCCACCAGAGCCCCTTAGACATTATTACTATGTGTTACAAATTCTTTCAGTACCTTTGACACAGGTTAAGTAAACTACTGTTAAAAGTCAACTATAGTTCACAATTTAATAGGTTTAAAGTTTGTGCCCCAGAACAACATTTCTCTAGAATATTTTTTCTATCTATATCCCTCTTCATCTCTTGTTATTGTTGTGTGTGCTATTGAGTTGGAACTGACTCATAGCAGACCCTCCAGTGGGTTTTCAGAGGCAGTAATTACATGGGAGGAGAATGCCCATCCCCTTCTCATGGAGCAGCAGGTGGATTCAAACTTTGGGATTGCGTCACAGGTTCTTATCATTAGGCCACTAGAGCTCCATCTCCTTGAGAGATGCTCTATTTACATGGGTACACACACATACACACACGCACACACACATGCACACACATACACATGAACACACACACACACACACACACACACACACACACACACATCTCCTTATCTTTTCTACAAAACAGTCTCTAAAAATTCACTGCCAAAATCCACTTTCTAGCTCTAAGTAATAATGTCTTGAATTCACTAGATTTTATTTCATCACAGAACTAGACCTTGCATTCATTATGCTATCATTTAATAAAAATAAGTGATGCAGCATTCTCTCCTATGAGCTTAGATGAACTTCCAGAGAAGAAGGCCCAGCATTTGGCCTATTAGTCTTGTGGACCAGGCTAACATTCTTTATTTAGCAAACCTGTGGTTTTACAGAGGCTAACCGTTGTATACAAATTCCTTAGTTTTTCTTTCCTTTGATTTGCAGTTAGTACTTTAAATTAGTCCCAACAGGATGATCCAGACATAATTCACAAAGACTAGGGAGCTTCTTACCAAGCCAAAGGTGGGTGATTTTAATCCGTGGCCCTCAGGCCTGGTTTTAATTGTTTTTGGTCAAACATTGTTCTAAGTGGTAAAGCACTGGTCTGTCCAATTGCTCTATAGAGGTAACTTGTGTTTGCTGTGATGCTAAACACTGTGACACTGATGTGCCAAATGCGGTAATGGTTACCCATGGTGGACAGTGTTTGTTGGAGCTCCCCGATTAAAACAAGCTTGGAAGCAGGAGTGGTATCCATTTCTGAAATAGCTTGCCTCCAGTAACTCTATGAACTTGGAGAAATGATAAAAGATACAGATGTTCAGGTCTTTCGCTCATAGGGTCACTATGAGTCGTCTATGATTCGACAGCACTTAACAACCACAGGGAACTTCTGCATAAAATTGTACTCATGTGGTAGCTGTATTGAAGCAATGTAAGCACCTCTTGGGTTTTGTTTTGTTTTTTTTTTCAGATTATGGGGGTTTGATTAAGGGCCATAAAGGATGATAAATGAAGTAAATGTGAAAAATCAGGAGAAAACTGGTAACATAATGAGAGAAGTAATTACCCAGGCATGCAGAAATATTGTCATTTTAAAGCATCAGGTTTTTTGTTTGTTTGGTTTAAGCATCAGTTTTAAGAGGTACATTTTTAAGGTCAGAACTGAAATTGAGCCAGGAATTGAGCCATCATATTCATTGATGATGAATAGTATATTACCAGAGTAAATAGTATATTACATACCAAAGGAGAAAGGACAAATGATTTTTTTTTAGGACAACTTATTTTAAGTACATGACATGAAGTTAACACACAGATTGTTGGCAATTATTTTAAGTAAGTTACAAATTGCAAAATGTAAAGAAGTATTTGTTAAGAGCCATATCCTACTGTTGCTGGTGAGCCTGGCTAAAAAGCAGTAATGCTATTTGCCTTTTCTATTCCAGTATGGCTGCACGGCCCTCCATTATGCCTGTGAGATGAAAAACCAGAGCATTGTCCCCCTGCTGCTTGATGCCCATGCAGACCCCCTGATAAAGAATAAGGTAAGGACTGTGATGGACTGTGGTGTGAGTAGCATAATCCAGGCCTGGGGCTGAAGTCGGTTATTTGCTCCTGATACTAATCATAATAGAATTCATTGCCTCAATGAAGAAATTCACTTATCCTAAAGCCAAGTGTTTGAGCAGATCAGGGAGCCTGATTAGGGTCAAGGTTCAGACGTGTTGCTCATGGGGTCGCTGTGAGTCATCATCAACTAGCCAACACTCAACAACAGTAACAGAGCTATTACAGAAGCTCTATATTGGGGGTGTTGGATAAACACTGGGTTGCTAAACAAAAGGTTTGTGGTTCAAACCAAAAGGTTAGTGGCTCAAAATAGTCATCTGAGGAACAACAAAGTGGTAGTCAGCTTCTGGGCAGACTGAGGGCCTCGGAAACACTGTGAGACAATTTTATTCTATCCTTTAGGGTTATTTCAAGTTGGAATCAACTGGATAGCAATGAGTTTTTTTGGTTTGTTTCATGACTATTGCAAGAGGCCTGGTGATGCAATAATGGAGCACTCAGCTGCTAACAGAAAAGTCAGTGGTTTGAAACACCCAGTGACTCCAGGAGAAAAGGCTTGGTGACCTATTCTTGCAAAGGTTGCATGCTCATGCTAGGAAATAGAGTAAGGAAATTCTACTCTAGTCTATAGCATTACTTTTAGATGGGATCCCTGGGACATGCAAACAGTCAACACACTGGGCAGCTTACTGAACAGTAAGGGTTTCAAATCCACCCAGATTAGCCTGGTGATTTACTTCTCTCAAACCAGACAGGAAATTTTTGTAGTTTATGGTGTTATAATGACATGCATGGGGTCATTGTGAGTCAAAATTAGCTTGATGGTAACTGATTTCAAGCTATTATCAGGATTGAATTATATTTGTATTTAAAGCACTTGCAAAGCCTGAAAGTCAATGCATCTAAATGGTTCACTAGATCCTTCACTCTGACATTTGACTCTCGTGGAGACAAATAACTGCGATTTCTTTGTCTCCGCAGGATGGTGAGAGTTCACTGGACATCGCACGGAGATTAAAATTTTCCCAGATTGAATTAATGCTAAGGAAAGTCTCATAGTCTATGTAGCCTCACAGATGAAAAAGTAGGTGACGTTAAAAGACATTTTTCCTCCATCTTTGATTGGTGGACTATGGGCCATTCAACCCAGAAGTCATTACTTTATGGGAATGATGGTGATTGCCATAGGTAATGTTTTGTAATATAGTTTGCTCTGTGGAGTTTACCATAATCTCCGAGAAGAAGCACTGAACTTGTTGGAATCTTCATGTGATCCTATACACATATTTCCATCTCAATCTCTCCTAAGGAAGAGAAGTAGAGTTTTACGGCTTAATTTTCTTTCCCCTAGGATCTTCACCCATTATTTCTACTTGATGGCATAGAAAATGAATTTTCCTTTCAGGTTTCTTTGAGTAACAAAAGAAAAATTCAAATTCTATATATTTCTATAGAATTATACACATATGCATATGAGTTTAGAGGTTCATATGTGTATACTCTTTTGATGAAATAAGTTCAACAGAAATGACCATAGCTGTCAGTGGTAGAAGTGTTTATAACACAGAAATTGGCAAATGTTATAAATTGGGGATTTTGTTTTCATTCTTTCCAGGAAGCCAGTTTGCTAGTGCATTACTTTACATTTGGTATTCATTTACAAGAAAAATATGTCTCAGTTTTAAACAAGATGTGTAACTATCAATATGTCTGCTCAAAACAATCTTTATTACCTCTTGGAAATATAAGCCAGATAACAAATTTTAGTTTTATTTATTTTTATCAATAAAATTTTAAATATTATTATAAATTATTTGGATAAAAGAGCATTGTTATAAGAAATTGAGCTAGATCATAAGATGACATCTGGAACATGTTTTGTGAATGAGTCAGAGCAGAGAGAAGTGTATTTTAAAATAATGATTGAATTTTACAAATCAAGTCTGAATGACTCATAGCTGTGGCACAAACTAAACCATGCTAGATGTGGTAAAAGGCACAGTCTAAGAATGCCCTTCACTAGAGTAACTAATAAAAATCTAACCCAGGAGTTATTTGTTAAATTATGTACAGAGTCTTAAGACACATGTTTTGTAAGGGAAAGAAAATGGATTCTGAAGCCCTTGAATGTTTCTTGTAAATTATTTAAAATCCATTATCACTGAGCTGAGTTACTAGGTAACTATGGGAGGGAAACTAAGTGGATTTTATCCACCAGTTTGGTTTCAGATTATATTTTGCAAAATTGTACTGTTACATAATTTATTTCTGTCATATTTGAAACTATGAAAACTGAGAATTTTTTTCTAAATAAATAAATCTAGATTTGTGAACAAGTTAGAGTGATTGTCTGCCAGTAGCTTTGACAAGATCAAAGGAAACTATATGAGCTCTACTTTTGCTGGTTCAAATCCACCAGCAATTTAAGTGTTTCATTATACTCATGACATTTAAAAATGTTCCTCCTATTTCTCAACATAGTTAAGTCTATATACAAAATCAACAGATAACATTAGTCTCAGTGACATGAGATTGAAGACATACATTTCCCTTGTAAACAAGAACCAGACAAAGAAACATTTTATTACCTATGCTATTTAATATTGTATTGCACATACTTGCGTAAGCAATAAAGCAAGGAAAAGATAAAAGACATCCAAGTTTGATATGCAACGATGGTTCAACATAAGAAAAAAAATTAATGTAATTTACCACATTAACAAAGCAAATAACAACCATATGATCTTAGCAATTGATGCAGAAAAGGCATTTGACAAAATCCAATACCTCTTCCTGATAAAGACACTCAGCAAATTTGGAATAGAAAGAGATATCCTCAAAATAGTGAATAGTATATATGCAAAACTAAGAGCCAATATAATTCTCAATGGAGAAAGACTAAAACCATTTTCCTTGCGAAAAGGGATGAGGATGCCCACTGTTACCACTTTTATTCAATATTGAGAGTACTTGTTGGGGTAATACAACAATGTCTAAAAAAAACCCCACCCTATTAGAGCTAGAACAACAATTTAGTAGAGTAGCAGGGATATAAGGTCAACATCCAAAAATGAGTAGGATTCGTCTACAGTAACAAAGAGAATTCAGGGAATGAAACCAAGAAAGCAATATGGGAGGCATAGCATTCTCTGACCTCAGAATCTACTACTTAGTGGTAGTAACCCAAACAGCATGGCACTGGTACAACAACAGGTACATAGACCAATGGAATAGAATTGAGAACCCAGAAATGAACCCAGCTATCTATGGTCAACTGATAATTGACAAGAAAATAAAACCTATAAAATGGGGAAATAACAACCTCTTCAACAAATAGTGTAGCAAAACTGGACCGCTACCTGCAGAAAGCTGAAACAGGAGGTACATCTCACACCATACAAAAAAATCAATTCAAGGTGGATGAAAGACCTGGAAGTAAAGCCCCAAACCGTACTGGAATCAAGCTTAGATGACCTAATTAGTCTATGGTAGAAAGAGACTGACAAGTACAGTCAGAAGAAATGCATAATCTAGAGAGGATAAATTGGCAAATGGGACCTTCTAAAGATTAAAAAACTTTTCCCAGCAGAGTTAAAAGAAAACATCCAGACTGGGAAAAACATTTGGCAATACCATTTCTGACAAGGCTCTCATATCAAAAGTTTACAGAATCTCACAAGGCCTCTACAAGAAAAAGACTGATAACACAATTACAAAATAGGCAAAAGACATGAAAATACTTTTTATAGAGGAAGATATTTGGATGGTCAACAGACACATGAAGAAATGCTTAAAATTACTGGCAATAAGAGAGATACAAATAATAACCACAATGAGATAACATCTCACTTCAGTAGCAGTGGCAAAGTGTCCTGTTTAAAGGACAGCAAGTAATACATATTGGAGAGGATGTGGATAGATGGGACCTCATGTTATTGGTGGGATTGTAAAATGGTACAACCATTCTGGAAGACAGTTTGGAATTTCCTCAGAAAGCTGAACATAGAAATTCCATATGATCCAGCTGTTCCACTGCTTAGAAAATACCCTGAGAAAATGAAAACTGAGGCAAAAATGGAGACTTTTCACCAGTGTTCATAGCAGCATTACTCACCATCACAAGGACATGGAAACAGCCCAAATGTCCATCCACAATCGAATGGATTGAAAAATTATGGTTATATTTACATGAGGGAATACAATGCAGCATACATGAGCAATAATTTTGTAAATCACTCCCTAACTTGAGAGCTACGTGAACTCAGTCTGGTAAGGACAAATACTGTATAAGACCATTATCGTAGAAATAGACAACTAGTAAAATGTGTAAAAGTATCTAAGTGGGTGAGGGGAAAACAAAGGGGGAGTAATCATGGGGTCACATGGTTTGATGGGTAGGGATGTGGGGGGATCTGGTGTGAGGGGCAATGTATATGAACTTTGTACGTAAACTAATGTAAAATAAGAAAAAAATGAATTGCAAGAAAGAAAAAACAACTTTTAAAAAGATCTAACTTTGTGAAGATGAAGTAAAGCCATTTTTTAGATGACATGATCTTAAATATGGAAAATAATGAAGACTCAGCAAGAAAATTGTTGGAACTAATTGAAAGGTTCAGCAAAGTGACAGGATATAAGATCAACATGTATGTTTATTTCAGCATTATTCACAATAGCCTGAAAATGGAAACAGTCCAAATGCCCATCAACAAATGCATGGACAGAGAAATTGTGATACATTCACACAATGGAATTCTATTGCTTTAGAAAACAAAACCTCGTAAAATATTGCACAAGGACAACTGTAGAGAACATTGGGCTACACTGAAGAACTAAGCCATAAAAGGGCAACTACTATATAAAACCACTACTGTGAAAATAGGAGTAGGATTGAGGCAAGAAGAGAGCAAGTGAGCGTGAACAGAATGTGCAGATAATGAACACCGTAAAGGATCAGAGGAAGGGAGAACCAACCTGGAAAGAACAGATGAATGGGCAATACGAGCATTGCAATTAACAGTTTGGAACAGGACATGCAAAACTGTTCAAAGAAAGGAAGAAGTAGGTGAGGAGAAAAAGGGAGAGGAACATATTAGGGCAGTAGAGATTAGTGGACAGATGGGCAGGATGAAAAAATAGGCAAGGTGCAGAGAGGATTTGAGGTATTGTGATGAAAGGTGTTAATCAATTGTCATTGATGGTATAGGGCATACTGTATATGAATGATTGAAATAAAGCCAATTAAAAGAGTATTAGTATAGCTACTGTACAGTAGCCAGGAAATTAAAAGGCATATTGCCATGGGAAAGTCTGCAGTTAGGGACCTCTCCAAAGTACTAAAGAGCAATGGTGTCTCTCTGGAGACATGGTCTTTGCAATCACTTGTTATGCATCAAGAGAGTTGGACAATGACTAGGGAGGATAGAAGGAGAATTGATGCCTTTGAGCTGTGGTGCTGGAGAAGAGTATTGAGAATACCATGGACTGCTAGGAAAACAAACAGATTCATCTTTGAGAGGGTTAAACCAGGTGGCTCCTTGGAGGCAAGGATTCTGAGGCTCCATCTAACATACTTTGGACATGTTGTAAGGAGAGACAGGTCCTTGGAGAGGGACATCATCCTTGGCAGGGTGGAGGGACAGCACAGGAGGGGAAGTCCCTCTATGAGGTGGATTGATTCAGTGACTGGGATAATCGGGATGGGTGTATCAGAGACAGTGTGATTGGCATAGGACAGAGCAGAGTTTAGGGCTCTTGTACATAGGGTCACTATGAGTCACAAGTGACTCGACAGCACATACAACAACAACAACAACTGTACAGTAACAAAGAAAACTTGAGAAAGGGAATCAGGGAAAATTACCATTTACAAGTGGTACACAAAAGATGAAATAGGAGGAGTATCATGCTTGGAAAAGTGGAGGGTCAATGAAAGAGAGGATGGCCCCCATTGAGGGAGATTGACAGGGTGACTGCATCAATGGGCACAAGTGTATCAGAAATAACAAGAATGGCACAAGATAGGACAGCATTCAGGCCTCTTGTTTATACAGTTGTTATAAGTCATATTCAAGTTGATGGCACCTAATAACAACAATAATTATATAGAAAGGAAAAAGCTCCTGGATAAGCAAAGTGATACTAAAAAAACAAACAACAAAATGCAACCAAAATAAGCTTTAACTTCCTGATTTCAAAACTAACTGCACATATTCAGTCATCAAAGCAAGTTGTTATACTACTTTGAGCTAAACAATAAATAGGCTTATCAGGTGATGAACAGCACCACAGAGACTCACTGCTTAGAATACTAAAAGCAGCATTTTCTCCCAGAATAAAGCCCAGAAAGCAGGGAAGGATTGCACAAGAGGATAAATGGAAATGAGGCTTCCTTGGGAAAAGTGTGATTGCACTTTGGATATTGTCATTAATGGGTGATGAAACTTGTCTCATAGACATTGGACACGTTATCAAGAGGATGTATTTTGGGCATGCTGTCCTTGGGAAAAGTTATCATGCTGTGAAAGGTGTGGAGTCAGAGAGAGGAAGAGCATAAACCAGATGGGTTGACACAGTAACGCTAACACTGAACTCAAACATGTCCGAGATTGTGATGATGGCACAGGAGAGGCAAGGTTCATGAAGTTGCTCTGTGCCATTGTTGAATCAATGGTAGCTGACCACAACAACAATTGCTGTTCTAAAGTAAAATGTAAGTGAATGGTAGAAAGGAAAACCATCTTGTGTTACAAAATTTCACTCAAATAAAAATATAATTTTTTTAACAAAATAGTTTTCCTATATCTTAATTTTTAGAAACAGAAAACTAAGCAAGTCATTGATAGCAAGAGGCTGTAAGTTCTTAAACTTTGTCTAGAGTCTTAGTACTAAAATACAGACCCATGTTTTACTCAATGCATAATGCATTTGTTGGACCACTTATATATATTATCTTCTCTCTGTTGGGCCCACAGAGTTATCTTCCCTGAGATCAACTATAAAATATAGGCTTATTATTATGATGCTTAAAACATATTTCAGCGACTACCCTGTACCTTGTCTGTGGTTTTGGTTTCTTCTTAAATCTTTTGTCTTTCTGAGGTAATATTGTGATACTTTGTTGTTAAGTGCCTTTGAGTCAAGTACAACTCATAGTGATCCTATGAACAAAAGATCTGAATTCTGTTCTATTCTGTGCTATCCTCACACTTCTTGACACAGAAGAGTCCACTGTGGCTGTCACCGAGTCAATCTCGGTTTGACCAGGAAGACCTGGTTGAGGGTCTTCCTCTCCTTCGCCGACACTCCGTCCTTCCCAGCATCATGTCGATCTCCAAGGAATAGGCTGCCCTAGCAACATGCTCAAAGTATGTGAGGCAGCACCTCATCATTCTTGCCTCTGAAGAGCACTCTGACTGCTCTGGAGCATACCAGTCTTTGGTCTTTTACCAAAAATTTTCCAGGTTTGGAGCCATTATGAGTTAAGGTAATAAACATCTAGATCATTATCTTTTTTAAAAAAATCAACAACAATCCAGAGACATTCAAGGTCTCAATATCTACCCAAATTTGCCCTTTTAATATTTACAGAATATGGCTTACAGAAAAAAAATTACATGACTTTTACCTGATGATATAGAGAATGTCTAGATACTTTATAGCTGTCAGGCAAAGGCTACAGTTCAATGTGGTAGGATAGATACTAGTACATGAAGCCAATTTCAACTCAATAAAACAGTTTAATGGACTGAGAAAAAAAATTAGATGTCAGTGTTGAGTGTAGGATATCTGAGGCTACCAATACTACATTTTTTCCTTTCCTTCTCTATCATTCTTAAATGGATATTGTAGGTTTTCAATCTTGAAAAAGTTCCAGAAATTTCTGTTCTTGGATCTCAGCCCCATCTTCCAAGAGGCTGTTCTTAAGACTTTTCTGTATCAGATGCTTCACAACCTGCCCTCACATGTTCCCTGGGAGAAGTCGAGTTCTTCCTGCTTTATCAGATGTATGATTTCACTGTACATACGATGAGGAGCATCAAGACCCCAGATGAAATCCACGTGAGCCCATTCAGGAATGTTCTTGTGGTAGATGAGGTTGGTCACTTCAGAGAGCAATGCTTTCACATCTTCAGGGTTTGAAAGCCAGTCTTGACCCCCAGTCCACATTGCTGTAGGGACCCTCATTTCTCTAACGTTATATCTTATAGGTGTTGGCTAGAAAACAAAACAAAACAAACCAAGAATGGTTTTTAAGTGTGAACAACATTGAAATTTCCAAACATAACTTCTACTCCAAATAAACATAGTAAATATGCCATGTGCTATGATGGAAGAAGCAGAACCATACACACATACATAATTGCATTAGAAGTTTTGTTCACTCTCTGAGATAAAATGGTTTTCACTAAACCTCAGTTTCTTAATCTGTGAAATAGGGACACTATGTACAATAAATTACTAGATTGAATTAAAATCATATAAACCACCTATCACTTTAATTAACTCATTTTCTTCCTTTTAATATTTTGCATATAAATTGGCTATAAGAAGTAGTGTAGCACTTTTATAATAGCAATGATTTGGAAACAACCCAAGAACCCATCAATGGCTAAAGAAACTGTGATACAGTCTCAAGATGGAGTACTATGTAACATTTAAAAAAGTTCAAGAATTAATGAAATACTACACAACATGGATGAAATTAAAACAAGTTATGCTGAGTGACTAAATAAGACACAGAAGGGTAATTATAGTGTAAGATAACTAATATGAAAAAACTAAGAAATTATTTATACTCCGAATCAGCCCTGGAGAATTAACAAAGAGGAGAAGAACTTTCTGGTGGCTTAGTGGTAAGAAGCTGCACTGCAATCTCAAAGGCATGTGGTTTGAACCCACCAGCTATTGTGTGGAAGAAGGATGGGTAATCTCCTCCTGTGTGATTTACACATGATTTCTACACAGAAAGAACCAATCTTGAGGGTTGACAGAGATAATAAGAGGAGAGGAAAAGAAATAAACATTTTGTAAAATACTTGAAAATGTTGTTGTATGTATGCCTTTGAGTAGGAACCAACTTATAACAATCACCCCTGAATTTTCAGTGGCAGTTAAACACATGAGGCCTCTTCCATGGAGCAACTGGTGGATCCAAACCCTGTGCCTTTGGGATTACAGCACAGCTTCTTACCACCAGGCCATCAGAGCTCCCTACATGAAAATAGACAATAGATATGAGGTGGGTGTGTGTGTGTGTGTGTGTGTGTGTACCTCCCCATTTATCTTTATTGTTTAGTTGTAAATTGAAGGGGTGGAGGATAGAAGATAATAATAATGTCCCTGTCTTTTAAAGACATAATTTCACAACTATTTCATGAGGTAAGACTTAGAGATATTCCACAAAGAAGGCCAGACTCTGGAAGCTACTAGAAGCTGTTGCTGCTACTATATCAGCAAGTAGCACTGGACTTTCTCACTCTGAGATCAGAGGAAACACTTGAGGCAGGCCCAATATGACTGACTCTCCATAACCTGACTGGCCTATGGCGTAGGATCTCAGGTCTTTTGAACCAAATCCTAGGAACTTAAACTTTGCTCAGATCTTCCATGTCTCAAACGAGAGTGTCCAGAATTGCCCATTTCTGGTCATTTGCCTTACTCAAACAGTAGTACCACCAGATCATGCTGACTGATTGAACTCTCAAACCTATCTGTACCAAGAAATTTCTATAGAAATGGCATTTCAATTTCTTACTTAGCAAGTCCACTGTGAAGCCTAGCCTCCAGTCACTGAAGTCCCTTTTCCTCTTTGTGGCACTCTAGGAATTTGGAGTTATAGCCTAATGTCAACAGTGAAGGTTAGAATATTCTATGGGGATAGTAACAATTTTTTCTTAAAGATGAAAAGTTTTAAATAAATAAACACTTCATCTAATTCTAAGGTTTTATGATCCTGTGACACCTTTCAGTATGTTCGGTTTATCTTCATTGCCCCTACTATCTTTAGGTGCTTAAACAGGAGAGGCATCTACTGCCTAAACATGCCTCTGGAAACTCTATGAACTTTGAGAAATGATGATAGTTATAGAAAGGCTTCAGGTCTTTTGTTCAATGGGTCACTATGAGTCATGTTTGACTTGATGGCAATCAACAACAACAATAACAATCTGTAGTCAGGAGCCATGGTGGCTCAGTGGTTAAGGAATTCAGTTACTAAACAAAAGGTTGGCAGTTTAAACCTACCAGTTCCTCTGAGATTGAAAGATGAAGCTGTCATGTGGACTTCCGAGTTGTAAAACAACCCAGTTGTAAATGGAATTTGCTCCAGGACTTAAGAACAATAAATGACATAGTTGAGCCTTTACATCTTGTGGTTCCTAACCTTTATACTATAATAGACAAAGTGCTAGTCAATAGGCCTTTTATTGTAAGAACCACCTTCCCTCTGTAACTTGACTTGTGCCACTATTAAAGCCTCTACTTGGAATATTATTGCTTTTTAATTTTTGACTCATGTACTTTTAACTTGTTAGTTAAATTTGTGTCTTCTAGGCTGCAACACTTCCATGATACATCTTCAAGGATATGAACATGTACGGCTAAGCACAGTTGATAACAGTGCATCTAAATTCCAAAATCAATTTCCATAATAGTCTATGTGTTTCCTATTGCCAAAGGGGCCCTTTAGAGTAGTGAGAGAAGATCTTCACCCTGAAACCCACAGCATCCCTTTTCAGCAGGAAGTAGCTAAGAGAATACACCATCCCCTTTTCCTTATGAATCAGGGTGAAGTCTCTCTCAGGGAGGAGTGATAGGGAATGGTAAAGGACACACTGACAAAGGAGATTAATCAGAACTGGCTTTGACAAGCACTGTGGCAATTGGACAATTAAAACAGACATTCGGTGGTGGTGGGGGAAGAAGACCGAACTGGGGAGGAGGGTAGAGAAAACAGTGCAACAATGAATGAATGAAAACCCAAAATCTCTGTAAATGTTCATTAAAACTAATAAAAAATAATTAAAAAAAGAAAGATGAAGCTGTCTTCTTCTATAAATATATATGATTCTGGAAACACTACAGTGCAGTTCTACTCTGTCCTCCAGAGTCACTGTGAGTCAGAACCAACTGAAAGGCCTGGATGCTCTGTACTCAAGAAGTCCTGGTGGTGAAGTAGTTAAGCACATGACTGCTAGCCCAAGAGTCAGCAGATTAAGCCCATCCCTTTACAACACTATGGGGCAGTTCATTCTGTCATATAAGGTATCTATGAGTCAGCAGAGGTCCCTGATAGCAGACTTCCTCAATGCAATGGTGCCAAGAGTGTTGACTGTGGAGCTGACATTCCACAAGCTGAACTGTTAGCAGCCTCAGTCTCTTCTCCATCTATCATAGTGTTGCCAGTTGCCCCAATGGTGGGAATCTGTCTTCTTGATGTTGAATTTTAATCCATATTAAAGATTACAGTTCTTGACCTTCTGCAGCAAATGTTTCAGTCCTCCTCTGTTTCAGCAAGCATGGTTGTATTATCTGTGTATTATTGGTTGTTGATGAGTCTTCCTCTAATTCTGATGCCACGTTCCTCCTTATAAAGCCCAGCCTCTCGAATGACCTATTCTTCATATAGATTAAAATGGCATGGAGACAAGCTATATCCCTGATGCACTCCTTTCCTTATTTGAACTATGCAGTGTTTCCTTATTCTGTTCTGAGGACTGCGTCCTGGTATAGGTTTTTCTTGAACACAATCAATAGTTGTGGGCTTCCCATTTTTCTCAGGGTTAGCCGCATTTTCTTGTGATCTGCACAGTCAGATGCCTTTGCATAGTCAGTGAGGCACAGATAGACATTCCTCTGGTTCTCTTTGTTTTCTGCCTAAATCCATCTGACATTGGCAATAAGGTCTCTAATGCCACAACCTTTTCTAAACCCAGCATGTATTTACTGGTAGTTCTCTGCTGATGTACTGTTCCAGTTGTTTTGGATAGTCTTCAGCTGGATTTTGTTTGGTTGTGATATTAGTGATACTGTTCTGTAATTCTACACATTGTTGGGTCACCTTCTTTTGAAATGGGAATAAATATAGATCATTCCAGTCAGTTGGCTGGGTAATTGTCCTCCAGATTTCTTGGTAAAACCTGGTGAACATGTCCAGGGAACTTTCTCCATCACCATTGCCTCTTGATCATATGTAGTTTCATGAAATTCTTCTGTGTAAGCCAATTCTTTTTGGTACAGTGACTCTGTATATTCCTTCAATCTCCTTTTAATGCTTCTTAGATCATTCAATATTCTGTCCATAGAATCTTTAAGTATTGCAACTTGAGTCTTGAATTTGTTCTTCAGTTCTTTCAGCTTATGAAATGGCAAGCGGGTTTGGCTCTTTTGATTTCCTGACTTCAGATGTCAGCCTCAGGAATAAGGTACACCTGGTCCAGGCCATGGTCTTTGCAAATACTTGCTATGCATCAGAGATCTGGACAATGACTAAGGATAACAGAAGAAGAATAAATGTCTTTGAGTTGTGGTGATGGAGAAAAGTATTGAAGTACTATGGGCCATTAAGAGAACAAGTATGTCTGTCTGAGAGAAGATAAAACCAAGTTTCTCTGTAGATGCAAGGATTTTGAAGCCCAGTCTCACACACTTTGAGCACATACCCAGGAAGGACCAATCCTTAGAAAAGGACATCATGCTCGGAAAGGTGGAGGGACAGCACATGAGAGGAGGACCCAGATGAAATGAATTGATACAGTAACTGGGGAAATGGGGGTAGGTATGTAGGAGTCAACGAGACTGGCTCAGGACAGGGCAGGGTTCAGAGCTATTGTACCAAGGGTTGCTATGATTTGACTCTATGGGTTGCAGGTGACTCGATGCCTCATAAAACAACAACATAAGTCAGCAATCAATGGAAATGATTTTGCCAGTTTGGTTGGTTGGTTTTTGGCATTGAGTTCATCAACCTCTCTAGAAGATATTACATTAAAAGTTGATAATTTAAAATTGTCTTAGGAATGCTTTCTCTAAAGACATGCTTTAGGACAAATAAAGAAGGATATAAAAAAAGTGGCTGATAATTGTGACTGAGAATTTGCTGTCCAGGAATAATACACAGTTTGTCCAATTTTCTAACCTTTTGCATACATATTTATATATAGAAAGATATGAGACTCTCCAAGAAGCACTAGGTTGTATGTACTGGGTCACCTTTAGCTTTCTGTTTGTGTAATCAATATTTGTTTACATTCACACACATTAGCCAACATTCTTAAATAAAGCTTCTATGTCTTGAAAAGTGACATTATTATCCATTTCCTAATCTCTACAACTTTAAAACTCAATTTTGTTTTATAGCTTTGACTGTGTATTGAGTCATACAGTAACATTCTTTTTCATATTTTTTCACATTCAGATTACAAATTCAATTAAAGTCCGAGGTAAAGATCTCTTAAAGACCACTTGCCAACATTTTTTTTTTATTTTAAAGCGAAAGAAACTGGAGATTGAAGAGTCACTGTGACATGTCCATGATACAGAAATTAATAGTAAAGAGGCAACTTTTGCTTAGTCATCTCCCTTTTCTAATGAATTTTTATATGTACCTGGAAATTCTTTCACCCAAATGCCATTCTCCTTCCTTTCCCGCCTTCTTTTCCTCCTCTTACTCTTCTCCTTTTATCTTAAAAAGATAAAAGTAACCATACAGACTTCATTCTGCTAAATTTATCCCATCTTGCTCAAGAAAAATCCAGTTCCTGATTCACAGAAGCAGCTTTATCAGAAAAGGTCTCCCCCTTCAGCAAAGAAGCATCTAAACATTTTAGTTAAGCTGTAAATGGTCTAATTTTCAAATGATGTAAAAATCCAAACTCTTATTTTCTTCTTGAATTCCTGGTTATTTATTTCCACCTCTGAGATAACTGTCACCACTGCTCTTTCTTTCCTTTTAGGAGTTGTTGATTCCCTCTTGTACATGTCCCACCAATAGGGGTGCATTTTTTTACCTGCTTGCTTTTCTCCAGGTTCTTGGTCTCACTTCCCCAGTCAAATGCCCGGAGCTCCCCAGAATTCATTGCCTGAAAAGAAGTAAAAAAAATCACAGTGAATTCAAATTCATTGCTGGGTAAGAGTGAGGTGTGGGTGGGACTGAGCTACTCAGTTCTGCAGTTGTGAGTAAAGCAGACTCTCAGCTGCTCTTCCATTCAGTGTTGGGGGAATCTTCTAGAATTCATTGCTCATTATTCCTTGACATCAAGGCAAACCAAATCAGAGCTGACCCTCCATTGGTTTTCTGAGACTACATCACACAGTAGGAGACTGTCCATCTTTTCCTTTGGTGTTGCTGGTAGATTCTAAAAACCTGAGAGACTTGGCTTTTGGGTTAACAGTACAAGCCACTATGGACCAGACCACCAGTTCTTGCAAGGAAGAAAAAAAAGAGAGAAATAATTGAATCCAATGTTTTGGAACATTATAACATTCCCATTGCATTTTTTTGTGGGAATTCTGCACAAAGCTATAGATTAAAATGGGAACCATCCCCCAGAATTGTACATTGTGGTGAAGTCAGGCCACAATTAATCCAGTTTAGAGTTCTGAATCTCACATACCTTCCTCACATGAACATTTAAGGATATAATACTAGAAAATTTGGCTAGGAACTAATATTTTACTAGATTAGGCCAGTATACTCAAGTTTTTAGATGTAGTTACTAATATTCTCAAAATAAGGCGTTTTGGCAGCATGTTATTGTTGTAAATGCCATCGGGTTGAGTATACTGAGAAAATTATTTAAGAAACTAGATTCTATGAAAAGGAATGTGGCATCAGAATTGGAGAAAGACTCATAAATAACCTTCATTATTCAGAAGACACAACCTTGCTTGCTAAAAGCTAGGAGGACTTGAAGCACCTACTGAAGAAAACCAAAGACTACAACCTTCAAAATGAATTGCATATCAACATCAAGAAAACAAAATTTCTCAGCACCGGACCAAGAGGCAACATCATGATAGACTAAGACTGAAACTATCAACAACTTCCTCTTAATTGGATCTACAATTAAAGCACCCAGTACTAGTAATTGAAAGATCAGGAGATGTATTGGTGGCATAGCGGTAAGGATGTGCACTGCCAATTCAAAGGAACACAGTTTGGATCCATCCACTGTTCCTGGAGAGAAAGATGGATAATATATCTGCTCCAGTGGATTTTCTGCCTCTGAAAACCTGCTAGAAGGTCAACTATAAGTCAGTTCAACTTGAAGGTAAACAGTAACATTTTACCAGAATGCTAGGAGACTGAAAAAGAAGTGCATGGAAGCAAAGTCTTTTCCATCTTCATCTTTTCATGGCCACTCCTGTCATTTTCTCTCATCTTCTAAAAAAGGTCAATCTTCTATAAAATTTATAGTTGAAATAACATTGGTATACTTTAGATTTGTCTTGGAATAAATGAGAAAACTCCTGTACCATTGCTAGGGCAACATCGTGAAGAAAGTGTGATGACCCTTAGCAAAGGCTACACGTTCAACATTCTTACCTGGCTCCAGTGCAGGATATTTTGCACAGATGTTCCCGCAAAAGTATGGGCAACATATACATTTGCTCGGCTCTGTAACAAAGCATGAGAGACTTGTGGGGTTTAGAAAATTTCAAGAGCTATGCACCTGGTCAGACCAAATCTCCACTAAGAAATGGGAACATCATGAAAATATCAGCAACCATCTAGGTAACACAAATACGCACATAAATGTTAGTCCTTGTATTCCTGGGCACATCTGTTTTTCATGTGAGAACAACTTCTCTTTAGAGCTGTGACCTCTAATGAACAAAAACTTGATTAGTGTTAGTTAGGATGTTGGAGTTTTAAGTGCTATTGAGTCCATTTTGACTCATCATGACTTCACAGAGAACAGGCTTTTCAGGCTGTCATTTTTACCAGAATAGATCAACAACAGGTCTTTTCTTCTGTGTGACTGGCTGGGTTCAAGTCACAAACATTTTGACTTAACTGTTTTGCCACTATTTTCCTTATTGAAAAAAGAGAGATTTGGAATTGGGTCACCTCTTCTCAAATTCTGGTTTGGCCATTTATTTTTACGTGTATTTAAGTGAGTTATTTAATCACACTAAATTCCAGCATACTAAACTCTAAAATCCTTACCACTGGACCATCAGACAATATCATGATAGGTGGAGAAAAGGCTGAAATTATCAATGGTTTCATTTTACTTGGATCCACAAGCAACAGCCTTGGTACTAGCAGTTGAGAAATCAAAAGATGTATTGTTTTTGGAAAGTCTGCTATCAGGGACCTCTCCAAAGTACTGAGGAACAATGATGTCAATTTAAAGACTAAAGTGTTCCTGATAGAGGCCATGCATAGTCTTTTCAATCACTGGTTATATGTCTGAGAGATGGGCAATGAATAAAGATGACAGAAGAAGAATTGATGCCTTTGAGTTGCGGTGTTGGAGAAGAGTACTGGATAGCTCATGGATGGCCGAGAGAATGAACAGGATGTTTCTTAGAGAAAGTGGAGCCATAGTGCTGCTTAGAGGCAAGGATGGTGACGCTTTTTCTCGCATTCTTTGGGCATGTTGTTAGGAGGGGCTATTCCTTGGGAAGAGACATCATGCTTGGAAAAGCGGATGGTCAGTGTAGGAGAAGAAGACACTCAACAAGACTGTTTGGCATTGTGACTGCAGAAATAGGCACAGATATGTCAGAGATGATGAAGATAACAGGATAGGACAGGTTTCAGATCTGTTATTGATAGGATAGCTATGAGTCATACTCGATAACAACAACAACAACAACAACAACCAATCTGAGATAATGAAAATACTGACACTATCTCTCTTATTGGATTGTTATAGTGATTGAGTGAATGTGGCATACAATGAATGCTTACCAAATGGTAGGTCTTAATGTAATCATTGCAGTATTATTAAGAAATATTCTCTGGGAATGAAAGACTTTCTCTCAGCTGCTGGAAGTGCTGCTGTCAGTCATCCCTGCACAGGAAGCCCTTTTAGGGGTTGCCTCGTGGGTAGAGAACTGTCTTAACCAGTGAGTAACTAATTTGTAGGGTAACTTGCATTAAATAAGTGATTGGAGTGGGCTGTGAAGGCTCATCTCTCTTAGTCTAACTTGGGAAACTTGGAAGAGTCAACCCATCTTCATAGCTCTTTGTAGGGTCAACTGAGATTTCTGTTGAGACTGTATCACAGCTCCACATTTCCATTCACCCAGATCTGTTCCTTTCATAGGACAGAACCCCAAACAATTAACATCATCGCAGAGTATGCTTTTTAAGGAACCCTTGCTGTGACTCCACCAACTGATACCTGCGTTGTTGTTTGTGGTTAGGGGCCATCAAGCCAGTTCTGATTCCTAGCGACCCTATGTATAACCTCACCATCATCATAAATTGTTATCGAGTTCTAGTCTTGCACGGTCCGCACAATTATTGCTCTACATAAGCTCAGTGTTTCAGCCAGTGTGTTAGTTCACCTTGTTTGGATCTTCCTCTTTTTACTGACTCCCTTCTATAACAAGCATGGTGTCTATCTCCAGGGATTGATCCCTTTTGATAATAGGTCCCAAGTACATGAGATTAAGTCTTGCCATCCTCACTTCCAAGCAGTGTTCTTGCTGTTCTTCCTCTAAGACAGATGTGTTCATTTTCTGGCAGCCCACTCTGTAATTAATATTATTTTCTGAAACCACAATTCAAATATATTAATTCTTCTGTAGTCTTTCTTACCCATCACACAGCCTCCACCTAGATATGAGGTGACTGAAAAAAAGAACCATGGCCTTGTTCAGGTGCACTGTAGTCTCCAAAGTTCCTTCTTTGCTTCTTAACACTTTGAAGAGACTTTTGAAGCAGATGTACCAATACCATATGTTGTTTGATTTCTTGATCACTGCTTTCATTGGTCAAAGACTAACTTAACTGCATACAAAAAGCACACACTCACCACAAGGATCCAAATAGAATGAATACAGGTAGACTGTGGGTGGTATTTCTCCTCTTTGACTTGTTCGATGCAGGTAAGTCAACTCTGATTAATAATGATCCTATGTGTAACAGATTGAAACTTTGGCCGATCTTGCTGGGTTCTACTTCCATTTTTTCCAGTGTTACTTCATTCATAATAAAGCTGCTTTCAGACTCCTTCCATCTGTGACATTAACACCTACAAATGCCCTTGCCTCAGCCTATCCTGAAGAACTTCCCTCATAGTATCACAGTGTGCAGAGAACCAAAAGACGTATGTGATGTCATCGGTATTAATAGTTTACAATCTAGACATGAGACCATGAACTCCTAACTTTGCTTTGGGAAACAAAGAATTCACTAGGCTCCTACTTACCATATTCATGTTGTTTACATTAAATCCGCCCATAAGTAGTATGATATTACTACAGATCTGATCAATTATCATCTGGCCACAAAGGTAGGGAAGAAGCTGTCTGATCATTCTGTACTGGTACAGGAATTCTTTCCTGCCCAACAACCCCTGTGAAAACATGAAATAACAGTCATTACAGACAGGCATGAAGTGGTTCTGGCAAATTGGCCTGGCAGACTCTTTTACAGAGACAGGGAATTGTCTGAGGGATTACACACCTTGAGCATCATATCTGGCAGCAATAAAAATTTGGTTACAGGGCTTTTTGTATATTTGACCGTGGCTATAGGAGCTAGAGCAAAATTCATTTTGATTTTCTCAGCCAGCTCTGGCATGGTGGAAAACGCGATGAAGCCTGTGAGAGGAGAGGTATGTCAGCATACAGATGGCTCATCCAAGAACTCGTAAAACATTTACTCTACTTTTACAGAAATGCTTCGACAACTATGTGTGGCTTTGTCCTTATTTTGTTAAATTTTACTTAATTGTGATTTTAATGAAGATTTACATAGCAGTTTAGGCTCTCATTCATAAACATATACACAAATTGTTCAGTAACATAGGTTGAGTCTTCACAATGCAAAAACACTGTCAATATTTCCATGCTGATTGTTTGATTCCAGTGTATAGAGCTTCCTTAGATGAACCTAGTGTTTATTTTCTCATTTTTTCCTCCTATTTTTCAACTAATATCTTTTTTTGGAGGTTGGAGGGACAGTGCAAGAGAGAAAGACTCTCCATGAGAGGGATCAATTCAGTGAATGGGGTAATGGGAGTAAAGGTGTGTCAGAGACAGTGAGGTTGGCACAGGATAGAGCAGGATTTAAGGCTCTTGTATATAGGGTTGCTATGAGTTGGAAGTGACTCTATAGCACATAACAACACCAACACCAACAGGGGTTTGCTCACAAAGTTCGTATATGTTGTGTTTCACGCTACTCTTCATTCATATTGTGTCTCATCCAATCATTCATTTTTGTTTTTTAAGTCATCATTGGTGTTTGGTTTCATAGATCTGATTTATGCACTCCCAGAGGATCATCTTCATTTTGTGAGCTAATCTGTTCTTTTGCCTAAAAGGTGATGTCAGGGACTAATTTTTGTGATCATGTCCTAGTTATCCTACAAAATCATAAGCTCTTTGAAAGAGAGAAAAACCAAACCAAACCAAACCAAACCAAACCAAACCAAACCAAACCAATTCTCTATTCCCCATAATAGTTCAGCACATCGGCTTTCTAGTAGTATATTTCTGCTGAGTTACTGAATTGAATTATTGAGTCCAACAATATTGACTTTGAAATTATGTGTATTCTCAAAATACATGGTGAGAGAGATAAAACTATGTGTGAGACGTCTTGCTGGGAATTCTTATGGTTTTAACTGAGGTCAATTCTTGGAATCTTTAGAAAGTTTTGTTTGCTCTGTATAAATCATAATGTTACTCTATGGGTCTATTAGAAAAAAGTGCTTCATAGGATTTTCTTAGGCATTTATCATGCTGCTGGAAGCTCCTGTTACAGAACACTCAAAAGCTCTTCTCAAGTAATTCTTTTTAGTCATTACTCATTTACAATGACATCATGCTGAAGACTACAGAGAAATTGTCAATCAGTAGTTCATGCAGTTTATGAGTTATATCCTTTCTTTACAGAGAAATTTAGAATCAGAAAATTCACTTTCTTTATTGATGATAAATAACAAAGTTTGGAATGTTTCCCTCAATCCTTGATTTTTTTCTGGACAATCTTTTGGACAAGTGGTTACAAGAACTGAATTTTAATACTGACTTTTGTCATAAACTTGCTATAAATTAGTTTCTGTCTCAGTTTCTTGACCTATAAAATAGAAAGATGAATTTCCTGAATTCTCACTGTATAGCCTTGCCTCTCTCGTGGTATCTTTGGAAAAATAAGGCAATTCTATAAAACCTGGGCAGGGTCATTATTGATTAAATACTGTGTGTTTATTTTGAAAGGGTCTATACATGTTGTGTGTAGGCTGAGATTTGCCGGCCTTGGCTTGCAGAGAGTAAAACTAGACTACTTTCTAGTTCCTAGAAGGTTAACTAGTATAAAAGAAGATAGATTCTCTAATTTTTTCCTCCATCTAATTAGATTGTCAACAATGTGCAAAGGGAAGCATGAAAGTGAGCAATTACTACCAGCTCTGCCATCAGTAGAATGAGGTTAAAAACGGGTTATAAGCCTTTTTAATGCTAACTGTACTAGGATTCTTTTCAGATGGTAAAACCTAACCCAAGCTCACTGTCATTGAATAGATTCTGACTCTCCGTGACCCTCCAAAGGCTTCCTGAGGTTGTAAATCTTTCTAAGAGTCTACCCATCTTTCTCCCCTGTTGGGGAGAGGGTGGTGAATGCCAAGCAGTGACCTTTCCGTTAGCAGCCTAACACATATAACACATCCAAATCCTCCAGATTTATAGCTCAATAATTCGCTATTGGAAAGATCCTATACTTTTGGTCCCAGTTACCTCCTGAAAATATCATTTAACCTCAATGGTCTCTCTATTCATTCCACTACAGAGCTTGGGGTATAGAGGGGAGAAAATATAAGTGAGTAGATATTAGTGTAGGAACAGATAAAACATCCTTTCTTTCTAGAAAGTGACTGATAAAAATAAAAATAGCATAAGTTAATCATATCTAAAGCTAAAGAAAGAATAATGTAAAACCCAAACTTTTTCATTCACTCAACAAACTCATTGCTTCAAGTTGAAATGAACTCATAATTCACTTTGCAGAGACTTTTTCAGAGGCTGTAAACTCAACAGGGAAACATTGTTCATCTTCATCTCATGGAACAGCTGGTACATTTGAACCATCTACCTTTGTGTTGGCAGCACAGCTCCCTAGTGACCAGAACTTCCATTTTAGTCACAGTTGTTGTCATTATGTCCTACTGAATCATACCAACTCGTAGCTGACCCTCCAATGGGTTTTCAGAGGCTTTACATCGCATGGAAGGAGACTGACCATAGTTCTTCCACAGAGCACCTGGTGGATTTCCAGCTAGTTTGTTACCGCCAGGCCACCAGAGCTCACTTTTTGTTCAGTAGACAACATTAATTTAAAATAATCCTGCTGAACTTCTGTCATGAATTCCAACAGTCCTAGCACTGTCATAATTCCTGATTTACGAGTTAATTTTAGTCCTTGACACGATATGAATCTTGAGTATAAATGATTGCATTAGAAGAGTTTTAAAATATTCTCCAGGTTGAAGTTTCTAGTAACACGATTAAAGCTTACAGATTCCCTACAAACACATTTTCCCCCCCAGGATTGATTAATTTTATTTTAAAATGAATTTTTAGTTAATTTTATTTTCTTTTTATTATTTTTTATTTTTTAAAAATTAATTTTAATGACCATTTACAGAGATTTTGGATTTCCATACATTTATTGTTGCATTATTCTCCCTGCCCACCTTTCCCCCCAGTTCACACTTTGAAAAGTAAAATTATTTAATTGGTATGGAATCCCCTCTACAACCCCCCGCCCTGAGTACACTCCACTAGGCAACCTTCATTCTGGACTCTTGTCATAACCGCAATACCCAATTATATATCACTTTTAGACTGTTCTCTCCCTCATCTGTTTCAAACACATCTTCTTTAAGAGGCACATGCAGTACTGTCACGATTTATACAAATGCCAGTGGATAAGAAGAGTGAAACTAAATTGTCTATGATCCTGCTGTGTCCATGATTAGTCAAATTCAATTGAAGTGAGACTTCTTCCTCAGGACGGGCTGGCTGGCTAAGGCTGAGCAATTTGCAGGAGAGACTTCAACAAATTGATAAAAGATTTTCATAGACAACACTGGACTTAATAAAACCTCTCTCCCTTTAACCTGGTCAATCAGTGTCAGTGACTGAAGTTCCTGAATGGTTTGGAGAGGTCTTAAAAATCCAATTATTTAAGACAGAGTTCCTCCACAGTGTGCTGTTTAATTAAGAGAACTACAAGAATCTTTTAAATGAATTGAAATCATGTTTAGATTTTCCCAAAAAGAATTTTATAACATTTTCTTCAGGTCTGTTTGCAAAATCATGGCAATGCCCCCTCTTTACTGACTGTCTATTGTGTGTATGACATTACACTCTGGACCTCATTCATTATTCAACACCTAATTACTGAGTTCTGAAAGTCTCCTTACAGCTGTGTCCTATTAGACGGACTTCTTGCTTTCGCTGAGTTTACAGTCTATATACATTATATATATAGTACAAATCCTGCTAAGAGGGGATCATTGTTATCCATATTTCATAAATAAGGGAACTGAGATAAAGGAATTTGAGAGCATTTACCTAAAAAGTACAAGACTGCAGTATTAGAATCCATATCTGCCCGACTACAAAGTTCTTGCTCTTTCTACCACACCACAATCCCCCCTCAATTTAGTATTTGATACCTTGTCATCCTTAAGAACAGGATAAAGTCAGATCTGAGAAAAGCATGAAGTGAGGTGGGTACAGATTTCAGTCATGTTCACATTTCTTCTACATGTATACAGATTCTTCTACATATACAAACCTGTTTTCTTTTGAACTTACCCATGGTGGTGCCCTGTGAATAGCCGACATAATAGATCTTTTCCTGGTTCGTTTTCTGCAAAATAAAGTTTATCACTGCAGGAAGGTCAAGACTAGCCATCTCATCATAACTACAAGAGGAAAAGACAAAGTTATGGAAGAGTTATAATCGGAAGGAGACATAAGCAGAACACGGATTATTAAGCAAACCGCTGAGTTGATGTCAGTCCCAACCAGCTGTTACTATGCCTCTCAAGACACTCAGAATGGACTGGTGTCAATCCTGTGTTGCTTATGTGGGTGTCTCTGGGAACACCGCTGTCAGAAAACTGCTGCTTTCCTCCAGTGTTGCAGAGAGAGCAACAATCATCCTTAATAAATATTAACTGAGTACATGTGTCACCTCCCAACGACATGGTCCTGATACACTGTTAGCAGAATAGCGCAGGTATGTGTGTAAATAAATTTATATGAAAAGTACTAAAGAGTCTGCAGAGCCTTCTCTCTGATGAAACTATGAAGAATAGGTTTAATGTCAACAGGTGATTTAAATAAAGCATTGTTTTATAAGCTTAAGAGATATGTTAGTCAGTTGGTGCTTCTAGGCTTAATGCTTTCCCGTATGTCTCTAATTCCGTCTGAATTCATCTCATTCTGGGAATCCTAGCTCTTGCCATCATTCTTGTTTACAGTATAATTCTAAGTGTTAGTCCCAGGATATCTCTCTACAAGGCAGTGGACATCAAGACACTCCTCTCATTTCTGTCTCCAATTTAGGGTTATCACTATTATCATTTTCACTTCATTAGACAGATTCAACTCTCTACCTGAATTCTCAATCTTACCAATTGCTTTACTTTAACAGTTACTAGTTAAGACAATTTAAGGAAGCCAGTGCCTACCTTGCTTACTGGGTTTTCTACCATTGGGTGAAATCTATGTGAAATTGTTCACTACAATTAGAAAGTATGTAAACACAAGTAAGGCCATACTTAAGTATAAGTAATCCAGCCTTGGGTTTCATGTCAGGGTACTGAAGACTCAACCAAAAGAAATGATCCAAATAGTAGATACCATTCATTCTTTACCGAGTTCCTCCAAAGACACCCATGTCTACCTCCATTTCCAAGATTTTCATATACCTGAAAGCCCAGAACTCATCTTGGTCTACGTTGAGGGTTTTGTGTTTCCGAGACCACATGTTTCCCCGGCTGTTTGCCATCCATACGTCACAACCAGCATCCGCCAGAATGAAGCCCAGGCTGTTGTTGGGTAGGTTGGAAATCCAGTTGCTAGCATCTCCAAGCAGGCCATGCTGCAGTAACACCACAGGCCTCGGACCTACAGAAGAAGAATCTCAACAGCCTCAGTAAATCTCTACCATTCTCATTATTTGCCAGTGTGCAAAGGTGTTCATGACAGACAACACCTGTGTTTAAATCCTGACTCAATTGCTTGTTAGATTGATTTTCTTGGCTGGTTATTTAACTTCTCTGGGCTTCCATCCTTTCATTAACAAAATTCAATCTGTGTTTTAAATAAACTGGTGCATGAGGGGAAGGTGGCACAGTGAAAGAAGTACCTCAGAGAAAGAAGTAAAAACTAACTTCTGTGTTGTTTTGAGTAGTTATTTGCCTGGGATCCCCTAATGAGGCTTTTGAAAGTGCTTTAGGAGGTAGGGAGGTAGGTAGAAAGGGTGATTTGTGTAGCAATATGCAGTGGCTTGAAATAAGATTGGTCTGTGTTACCAACAGAAGAGTTCTTGTAATTTACAGTCTGTAGCAAGTTGGGCTGCTAACCCAGAATGCTTGCCTCCAGTGGTTTGAATACACCAGTGGCTCCTGGGGAGGTAGGTGAATAGTCATATTTTTGTGCAATTGATAGCTTTGTGAACCTGATGGACAGTTAGCTATGAGTTGATTCTGACTTAACTTCCATGATAAATTAAACTACCTATCATTTCAATCTGTATGCAGAACAGATTATCTGAGAGGCTGGGGTCTATGAAGAGATATGTGGCATCAGGATAGGAGGTAGATTAATCAACAATCTGCATTATGCAGATGACACATCCTGTTTGCTGAAACTGTGGAGGACCTGAAAAACTTGCTGCAGAGGGTCGAGGAATGCAGCCTTCAATATTAATTGAGGCCCAACGTAAAGAAGACAAAGATTCTCACCACTGGGCCAATTGGCAGCATCATGATAGATGGTGAAGAGATTGAGATTGTTAACAGATTCAGTTTGCTTGACTCTACGATCAACACTCTTGTCACCAGCAGCCAGAAAATAAAAAGACAAATTAAATTGGGAAAGTCTGCTATCAAAGACCTCTCCAAAGTACTGAAGAACAACAATGTCAGTCTGGAGACTAAGGTGCACCTGATACAGGCCATGGTCTTTGCGATAACTTGCTATGCTTCAGAAAGCTGGACAATAACTAGGGATAATAGAAGAAGAATTGATGCCTTTGAGCTGTGATGCTGGTGAAGAGTATTGAATTTACCATGGACTGCTAGGAGAACAAATAAGTTTGTCCTGGAGAGGGTGAAGCCAAGTTGCTCCTTGGAGGCAAGGATTCTGAGGCTTTGTCTGACATACTTTGGCCATGTTGCAAGACAGGACCAATCCTTGGAGAGGGACATCATGCTTGGGAGGGTGGAGGGACAGCGCAGGAGAGGGAGACCCTCGGTGAGATGGATTGCTTCAGTGACTGGGGTAATGGGGGTAGCTATGTCAGAAACAGTAAGACTGGCAAAGGATAGGGCAGGATTTATGGCTGTTACACAGAGGGTTGCTATGAATTGCAGGTGACATGATGGCACTTAACAACAACAACAACAACTCCTCCACATATATATGTATACATATGTACATCTATACACACAAGTATACACACACACACACAGGTATTAATATTTATATATATTCAACACACACACAGGCAATCTTCTCCCATTCAATTGATAGCCTCAGAAACCTGATGGAAGGTCACCATGAGTTGCAACAAACATTGACAAAAATTAGTGTATTATAATTACATCTTCCTTCTCTGAGATAGAACTAATTTGAGACCAGGACAGCAAACAAACAAAAAAACAAACAAAACAACAAAAAACCCAACCACAAACCAAAAAAACAAGATTAGCTTGGTAAGAAAGAAGTCGTCAAATAATAAAGACTTGTATTAAAACCAGAGCTGCCGTGTAATAAAGAGCCTTTTACTGCTGCTATTGCTACAAGTGACTCGCAGAGCTTCAGAGTCCTCACCAGAAAACTAGAATATCATAACCTACCTCACAACTCACAGGATGTGGGAAGATGAAGTCACTTACTGTGCATCGAACCTTCAGCTGGCCACTTGAACTGCTGTGTGCTCTTACTGGATGGTAGCTCTTGTCATTGTTTTTAATAACTAAAGGGACATACTGACTTCTGAATCAAATCTGTATGCAGTTTTGTTGTAAAACACAGACTTTGTGACAACAAAGCCAGTTAGATCCTTTTGCCTTATCGTATCCTTCTGGGAAATATGTGGGTAATGAGGGATAGGAATACAAGACCAGAACAAAGGAGACTGAAGTTAGTTCCCACAATATCTAGCATTTTAGTTTAGCATATTAGTCTTCAGGAAAGTGGCTTCAGTTGTGTTAAATAAAACACATCAGCAGTACTCCTGGTACATCCTTGGGAATGTGTGTGTGTGTGTGTGTGTGTGTGTGTGGCCAGACTGACCCAACTCAGAAATATTTGTAATATGTACAATTGGTCCAAGTAGTGATAGATCTGGCTCATTCAAATGATTTTAAGTTTGTCGTAGAATATGACTTAAATCTAGAATATAGCCAATAGATCAGTGTTTAGTGTTAAAATTTTTAAAACTCTCCCTGTTTTTTCTTTCTTAATGCAAAGTAGTGATTATTTGATGAGGTAAAATAAAAAATCTCTTATTAAAAGCTGAAATACAGTTTTGAGTGTTCTGATTTGTTTTCAATATAATCAGTTCTCTTTATGTTTTAGTCCTTGGAAAAAGACATTATGCTGGGAAAGGTGAAAGGTCAGAGAGAGAAAGATGCTCAGCAGATGGACTGACATAGAGCCTCTCCCACTGGCTTCGAGCATGTCAGAAAGGAGGATGGTGTAGGACAGGACAAGGCTCAGGTCTGCTGCTTATAGGGTCGCTATGAGGAGGACCTGAAGCGCTTGCTGCAGACGGTCAAGGACTGCAGCCTTCAGTATGGATTGAGGCTCAATGTCAAGAAGACAAAGATTCTCACCACTGGGCCAATTGGCAGCATCAGGATGGATGGTGAAGAGATTGAGATTGTTCACAGCTTCAGTTTGCTTGGCTCCACAGTCAACACTCTTGGCACCAGCAGTCAGGAAATTAAAAGATGAATTGCGATGGGAAAGTCTGCTGTTAGGGACCTCTCCAAGGTACTGAAGAGCAATGGTGTCACTCTGGAGACTAAGGTGTGGTCATTGCAATCACTTGTTGTGTATCAGGGAGTTGGACAATGACTAGGGAGGATAGAAGGAGAATTGATGCCTTTGAGCTTTGATGATGGAGAAGAGTATTGAGGGTACCATGGACTGCTAAGAAAACAGATTCATCCTGGAAAGGGTTAAACCGGGCTGCTCCTTGGAGGCAAGGATTCTGAGGCTTCGTCTGACGTACTTTGGTCACGTTGTAAGGAAAGGCCGGTCCTTGGAGAGGGACATCATGCTCGGTAGGGTGGAGGGACAGCGCAGGAGGGGAAGGCCCTCTATGAGGTGGATTGATTCAGTGAGGTAACCAGGGTGGGTGTATCAGAGACAGTGCGATTGGCACAGGACAGAGCAGAGTTTAGGGCTGTTGTACATAGGGTCGCTATGACTCTCAAGCGACTCGACAGCACACAACAGCAACAACAACAATATGAGTGGGTAGTTGACTCCACGACCTAACCTAACAACTTTCTTTCTTTGCTGCTGTGTCACTTCCTCCTCGGGTTGGGTTCATAGGAGCTGCAGTAACAACACCCGCCATTAGAGGGGGAGAGTTTTTCACAAGGAAGCCTCATTACTTGATTTCCAAACTCCTCCGGCAAGCTGCTTAAGTTTAAGGATGAGAGAATAAGCTCTGCCTTTTTTTTTTTTTAAGCTCTGCCTTTGAAGAGGGATTTCAGGAAACTTCGTGTGGGGGACCACTGCAGCCGCTTGCCCGCTTGGCAGAGGTGAGCTTGGCATGAAGGGAAGGAGAAAGAAATGTCTTGCCCGTGCTCCTGAGTCTTGTGGGACTTAACGACAAGGTCTTTCAGAGTCTCCAAGGTATAAATTTGTTTATAGAAAATGCACCCATTTACTCCCCCAACACACATTTAATAGCACCTCCAATGTGCTAGGGACTGTTGAATGTGTGAATGGTTAATGTACTCAGCCACTAACCTGAAGGCCGGAGGTTTGAGTCCACTCAGAGCCATCTTGGAAAAACAGCCTGGTAATCTATGGAAAACTAGTCATTGAAAACCCCACGGAGCACAGGTTTTCAGACATGAGGCCATCAGGAATCAGAATCGACTTAACAGCAATTAGAACCATGGGCTAGACACTAGATTTAACTCTAAAACAAAACAGAAAGTCCCAGCTGCCATGAGGTTACATTCTAGACAGAGCTGGGATGTGCCGTTGGAACTGACTCATAGCTGATCGATCCTCCAGTAGGTTTTCAGAGGCTGTAGATCCCACGGAAGGAGATGGTTTATCTTTATTCCACAAATCTACAGAGCAACAGGTAGAATTGAACCACATGCCTTTGTGTTGGCGGTGCAACTCCTTATATGAGGACTCTGCTGTTGTTGAGTACCTTAGAGTGGAACTGACCCTAACCCGACCCTCCACGGGGTTTTCAGAAGCAGTTAATCACACAGGAAGAGATTGCCCACTAGGCCACTAGGGCAACAATAAACAAATACAAATATCTGTCTTAGCAGATAAGAGCTATACAGAGAAGTTAGCAAGGTAGATCTCAGTAAGTAAGTAGAGATTATTTTTTAATTATGTGCAGGTATTTGTGGAAACAGCAGTCCAGAGGAGGAATTGTAAATCCAAAGGCACCTAGGCGGGGAGTATACACAAATGAAGTACACACAGCAATTGTTTCATAAAGCTGAACAAGTACCAATAGGAGTCAAACAGGATTCTGCAGCTTCTTTACTGCCAAATTGCAAAAGCATCCATCCGCCTGGCGTTTTCTGTACCTCGTTAAGAACATGGGCTGTAGAGGCAGGCAGATCTTGATTGAAGTGCAGGTTTGGCTACATACTAGCAAGCCCTAGCACATACTTTTGGGAGAGTTACTTAACCTGCATAAGTGGCAAGTTCTTCGTGGGGTTGTTGTGTAAGTTAAGTGAGACTAATAATGCAAATAATGCCAAATAAAAATAACATTTAAAAAATGACATCCTATGTATACATATTTCTTTCTACCACTAATAGACAGCTAGAGCTTTATAAGGATTAGAGCATCAAAGTTGGTATTGAGGGGGTTGGCAAAGGGGATCATTTTTACAAAAGTGAAAAAAAAAGGACTAAAAGTTCAGTAGTCAAGAATAGATTTCTATAAATTAGGGAAACATACAGCCAAATTGGAAGAAATATGTAACAAAAATTGAAGAGTGTGGTTCTTCAAAATTCCTTAGTCGAAAGGGAGCAGCTCTATGAGTATTCAAAGAGCTATTTAAATGGGACCATAGGCATGTCCAGGAGGAAGCACCAGGGGCCAGATTAGAGTTTGAATTCTTTATGGACAAGGGTTAAATGCAAGAAGCAATGTGTGTCCTAGGAGATCTATTTGGAAGGGTTTAGGCTAAGAGTTAAGTGCTAGAAGAAGAGTAATAAATGGACTTTTCTTAAAGAATTTTTGAGAAACAAACACTTTTTTTACCCAAGACAATTGATGGGTATGTGGATAGTGGTGATAGGAATTATGGGGAAATTAAAACCATCTTTTGGCCCCATACTGGTCTCTAGTCTGTACCACAACTCTTTTCAATAGAGTCAAATCAGAAAGGAATCATTGGTGTGGGGAAGACTGTCTTGCTGGCATGCAATAAGGTGATCCATACCTGTTCTTTTAATTTGCCCTTGGCCTTGAGGAATTCTATTAAGAGAAAGGATGTATCCATCGTCTGTTGTGACTTCATACTCCTCATAAGGATAGCCTTGGTGTTGGATGATTTCACTCTGCAAAAAATGAACAATTTATTTAGATATAGTCTCAAGAAAGTAAACAAGTAGATCTCTTGGTGCTCCCAGACATATATACAAGACATATTCCTTCTGATAAATTATGTTATTTTTTAAGAATAGGTCAACTCCTTTCAGACCTTAATTTGGCTGTTTTCATGTGAAATTTCACTTAAGAGAGTGATTCTCTCATGACTAGACTAGAAAAAAAAGTCTGAATCTTAGATGTGCCTTAATAATTGGAGGCACTTAAGCACACAGATTTGCAGGCATCATTCAGGTAAGGGACCAAGTGATTCTAATGCAGCCTGTTTGACATCTGTCTCAGGCCAACAACTTCTAAGCTATGCGCTCCTTAATGTTCTTTTCAGTGCTACAACCACAGGCTCAAAAGCAGGGATTTTCAATGATTTGGGGTCAAGAGTTTCTTAGAGAATTTAAGGAGAATTATAAAAATGAATAATCATATGAACACACACTTTTACTACGCACACTTTAAGGGCCTCAGATTCCTTGTTACCTATTTATGGAACCCTGGTAATTAAATCTTACTCTATACAGTTATGGGGCTCTCTGGTGACCTACTCCATACGGTGTTGTGCTGTTAACTCGAAGCCAGTACCTCCATGAGGGTTTGAATGCTTTGATAAATATAGAGCAGCAATGAGATTTTTAGTTTCTGTACAGTTACAGTATGTAGAAGCTTTTGCAAAACATGAAGCTACAGGGATCTAAGTATTCTCACTGCTGTAGTTCATTTTCATCTCTCAGAGCAAGGGAGACCTATTTCTATCCGGTGCTGCTTTAAAAGGAACAACTGTGGTGAAGGTCTTGTGCTTCTATGCTCATTATAGGGAAAGGGGCAATAGCAATGAAACATGTAATTAGGAGGAAGACACTGGAGTTTCATTGATTGAATTTTAATCCTCTCTCTTATAGTAGTGTATGAACTTGCCATTTAAACTTGGAAATTCAGTTAACCAATCCCAGGTCTCAGTCTACTCATCAGGTTTCTGAGGTTGTATGAGAAGAAAGTGTTCATAGTTCTCTTTCAGAGGAGTTAGAGTAATTGAATTTTCAACCGTTTGATTATCAACCCCATATGTTAAGCTCCTAGGTCTCCTCATAAAGGGTAATAGTAGGACATAGATTTGTGAATGTATTCATGTTGTTGTTGTTGTTAAATGCTCATAGCGACCCTAGGAAGGAAAGACCTGAACACTTGTATAACTTTCATTGTTTCTCCAAGTTCACAGAGTTTCTGGAGACAAGCTATTTCAGAAGTGGATGCCACTTCTACTTCCAAGCTTCTCTTAATCAGGGAGCTATTATATTCTAAAAGGTAAGGCCTTTCTAATAGACTTGCTAGTCTGTTTAATCTTTTAAAGTATAAATATTTTGAGGGAAAATTATCAAATACATTTTTAGAAACTGTTAATACATAAAATGTAATGCCTTGTCCACCACTTGTCTGTTGGTTTGCATGCTACTGTGAAGTTGGGAGCTTGCTACCATATTTCAATACCAACAGGGTCCTCCATAGTGGACAGGTTAGGAAAGAGGACCTAGAAATCTAATTCAGAAATAAATTATCCAGTGAAAACCTTATGAATAGCAGCAGAACATGCTCTGTTATAGTTCTGGACCCATCTCAGGTTGGAAGTCACTTAAAACAGAGCTGGGGAAGAGCTGCCTTCTAAGAACAGAGTTGGCCTTGATGGTGTAGATAGAGTAGAGCTTGTGGAGCCTTTATTTGGAGATGTGGAAAAACAAAAAGTTAGAAGAAAGGTCTGCACATATCCATTAATAACTGAACACTGGAAGTCAGAAAAAAATTCTTAAATGTGATGCATAAAGAATGATATCCTAAAAAAAAAAAAGAATGATATCCTAGGTATCAGTTAACAGAAATAGACAGGCACTGGTTATTCTGAATAAGACAAATATATAATCTATAAGGTCTAAATGTGGGGAATGACAAATTAAAGATGAATGGCATCACACTTATCATCCAAAAGTCACGGTGCAAAACCTATCTTTAAGGCAACATTGTCGGTGGTAGGGTAGTACATCTATGCCAACAAGTAAGTTTGTTAGTATGACAATTACTCTAATTTAAATACTATTTGTTAGTGGCAAAGATGAAGAAACAGAAGATTTCTAATAATTTGTGCAGTCTGGAATTGATCAAACATACACTTAAGATCAATTTATCAATTCATCTAATAAATTTATTATACTTATAAATTTATAATTTAATACTATAATGATTTTTGATATGCAAGAGTTGGAAACAAAGGAGAAGGATTGGCAGCTGGAAAAATATTACCTTGATGACAACTGGAGATTGCATAACACTGTGTTTCAAGGCCTAAAAACTGTTCTTTGGAAATTCCTTTTATGAACAACATAAATCAACTAGATTCATTAACAATTCATGATATGTATATGACAACCTTGCGTGTTGAAAGTGAAGAGGGTTTGAATCACTTGTGGGTGAAGATTAAAGACTACCGCTTTCAGTATGAGTTACACCTGACCACAGAGAAAACAAAATTATAATTGGGCCAAAACCTAGCACTGAAATAAATGGAGAAAAGGCTAAAGTTGTCAATGGTGTTATTTTACTTTAATCTGTGATCGATGCTTAGGCAATTGGTGGTTAAGAAATCAAATATGTCAAGTGCAACATTGAATGAATGGAAATCCAAAGTCTCTGTAAACTTTCATTAAAATCAATTAAAAAAACTAAAAAAAAAGAAATCAAATATGTTGCTTTTGACAAATCTGCTGTAAAAAAATCTTGTCAAAGTCTTAAAAAGCTGTTCCTTTGGGGACTCGTTGCATCTGACTCAAGCCATGGTATTTTTAATTGTTTCATGTATACTCACAAGTTGAACCAGAACTAAGGAAGACCAAACAATAATTAATTAAAGTTATGGTGTTGGTTAAGAATATTGACTGTAACATGGACTGACAGAGGAATGAACAAATCTTTCTTGGAAGAATCACAGCTAGAAGCATGGATAGCAAGGGTTCAAGTCATTTACTTTAGAAAAGTTATCAGAAATGAACTGTCCTCAAACAACGTCATCATGATTGGTGAAGTAGAGGATCATCAAAAAAGAAAAAAGATGCTCAGTGAGATGAATGGAAGCTGTGGCTGCAACGATGGGCTCACATGTAACAGTGGTTGTGAGGATGGCACTGAATCAGGCAGTGGTTTGCTCTGTTGCACATGAAGCTGCTGCCTGTGGGACCTGGTGGAAGGTACCTAACAACAACAACAACAACCATCGCGTTATAGATTCCTGCAAGTTTAACCCAAGGAAAAATAGCAGAGATGTACACAAGATGAACAAAAAATGAAAACAAGATTTCAGAGTTATTTGTCACTAAATCATTATTCTACACGGGAATAACTGAATTTGTGTATGACCCTGTGATGTACACCTACATCCTTCTTCAGTTACGATTTGTTCTAGGTACTGTGAATATAGTTTGTACAGATCCCTTTATCTGTCATATTTTCTCAGCTGTAGAACCTAGTGCCTCCCTCTCCAAGATCACATTCCTTCCTCAGATGGTCTCTATTCAAAGACTGACACCTAGGTTGGTCAGAAAGACCGGCTGATCTCAACTCTCTTGGGATGACTCAGAAGAGCGGGTTTAGGACGGCCTAGTTGGTTTCTGAGCCTGCAATGCAGCTTGCCTTCTCCCTTTGTCCACTCACTTCTCCCTTTGTCCACTCACTTCTATTCTCATCTTTTCTCTAGGTGCTGATCCTAAGGGTTCCTCTTAATACATATTCTGCACATGAACTCAGAGTCTAGTCCTTAGAGAATTCAGCCTAGGACAAACATATGTATGACTCCACTTTATCCACCCCCAGAAAGAGACATGATACAGGCAATCGCAATATTATATTACAGATATTTTAAAATGTATATGATGAACAATTCATCATATATATATTCAGTAAAGAAATGTTAGGAACAGTAAATTATGCATGGCAGCCTCAGTTTTTTTCCTTCTCCTTTTCAGATATAAAACTTAGAGGTCTTATATAGGTAAGAAAAGAGAACTATGGTTAGTTCTGGGTGGGTTCCTATGTGGTGGTGGTGGTGTACTCAGTGGCTAACTGAAAATTTGGAGGCTTGAGTTCAGTCAGAAGTGTTTTGAAAGAAAGGCCTAGTGATTTACTCCCCAGACAGACATTGAAGGCCTATGGTACACAGATCTCCTGTGACTTGGGGTAGTAATGAGTTAGAACCGATGAACATGAGTTTTGAGTATATTGGTAATGTCACCCTTTTTGCATCTATCTATACTTTTTCAGATTTTAAATAATGAACTTATTTTTTAATTAGAAAAAAAAATCAGTATTTAAAATCTAACAAAATATAGCCTACTGTTAGCTCTTGGGATATGCTACATTCTTAGTTAATCCAAAGGTATAATATATGCTGGTCTCTGCCTGGAATACTCTTCTTAGATATTATCATCTCCCACCAATATGGCCTCTGTCCATTCAAGTAACTTTTTTTCGTCTTTCAGAATTCAGTTTGAAAAATTTTTCTTCAGAAGAAAAAACAACCCTTTTCTAAAATTCCTGTTACATACCCTTATTTTACCATCTCTTCTCTGACCTTAGTAAACTTAAAATTAGTACTCAGTACTCATAATTATGGAAGCTCTGGTGGCCTAGTGGTACAAAACTTCACTGCAATCTCGAAGGCATATGGTTCGAATCCACCAGCTGCTCCACAGGAGAAGGATGGATAATCTCCTGTGCAAATACCTGTCTTTGAACACCCACCGGAGGGCCAGCTATGGATTGGTTCTGACTCAATAGTATTTAACAGCACAACTCTTATAACTGTACGAAACTCATTGCAAATACCTTCTTTTAAAAAACCAAAAATGGTTACATTAACCACACCTGATGAAATACACAGGGATCAGATTGACCATATCTGTGGAAAGAATTGATGGAG